CCAACGTAAGTACACAATAGATATTCTCACCGACGTCGGTATGTTAGGCTGCAAGCCTGTGGGATCTCCAATCGATCAGAATCACAAGTTGTCTCTCTCTAAGAGTATGGTGTTACCAGATCCAGTACGATATAGACGACTTGTTGGCCGCCTTGTTTACTTGGCATCGACCCGACCAGATCTTTCTTATGCCATTCATATCTTGTCGCAGTTCATGCAAAAACCAAGAGAAGAGCACTGGTCTGCGGCTCTCAAAGTTGTCCGTTATTTGAAAGGAACGATTGGACAAGGGATTCTTCTCCGAGCCAATTCTCCACTCCACTTAACAGGTTGGTGTGACTCCGATCACGGCAGCTGTCCCTTATCTCGCAAGTCATTAACAGGATGGATTGTTCAATTTGGTGATTCACCAATTTCATGGAAATCCAAGAAACAGAAAACAGTCTCACTATCTTCCGCAGAGGCTGAATACCGTGCAATGGGTGCTGTCACTAAAGAACTTCTATGGCTCAAATCGTTGCTGTCTGAAATTGGCATTGATCATACTGCTCCAATGTCTCTTCGTGTGATAGATAAGCTGCATTGCACATTAGTGCTAATCCTGTTTTTCATGAAAGAACTAAATACATTGAAGTCGAGTGTCATTTCATTCGTGATTGCATCATTGCTGGCACCATCAAACCGTCCTACGTCCCAACATTGGATCAACTGGCTGATATTCTAACTAAAGCTTTGGGACGACGGGAGTTTCATGCTTTCTTGCGCAAGTTGGGCATTCAAAATTTGTACGCTCCAACTTGAGGGGGGGTATTAAGGCTAAACTTGATCCCCAAGTTGTGTAATTATCTTTTAGTTAGTTTTTCTTTTATTAGCTAAACTCTTCTTGTATAAATAGAGACCTTATGGTTATGTTAATAAGACAGAAACAATTCACATATCTATTTGTCAGAAACATGTAGAGTTAAGAGTCGAAACCGATGCTGCGGTGCAGCCATAATAGAAACCCATCAAGGTATAATCACATACCACCAGTGACTCGTACGTGAACCCATATGACATGGACAAATATGGCTAGGCATATGAATGAATATCTTGTTATCCCCATAGAATGGATTTGGACAGGGTTCACGTTCATACTTAGAATGACCTTCGAAACTCTTAATTTGTCATACATATTAATTAGCGTTTCAGCATATATATGGTAAAATCTCGTATGTTGATTTGTCGTATTTTAGAGAGAAACTTTATCACTCAAAACCTTGTATAAACTTGTGTGCTGGTGAATAGTTTTGGATGAATTTTTCTAAAAGAGTGGCTGAAAAGTGAAAACTAATAATAATGAGAATTTGTAACCCCGCCTTACCTAATATACACATTTGATAACAAATCATATACGTATATATAACTAAAATTCATTGAACCTTGATGCATCTAGGTATAATGACATACAAATGAATGTGCATGTCTATATTCTATGCAATTATGTAGGTGAAGCGGATATCCAGAAAATTTATGATATTTATTATTCGATTCGTTTTAACCGAATACTTGATTTTGTGATTTGCTTTGATTCGGAAATTTCCGGATATCCGAAAATTCGAATATCCGGATTTTTTTGTGATATTTGCGGATATCCGCTTCGATACATTAAATATTTTTTAAAAATTTTGTAAACTACAGAAAATAACAAAATATTATATATTCAAGTTTCACGCTTTTAAAAATAAGTTCTTAAAAACAAACGTAACCATTGTTGATATCATCGATCAAAAAAATTCCAAAAACCAAAACCCGATAATTTAAGATGCCAATGATCAAAACATAACATGAAAGAAAAATGATCAAACTAACATCTTAACATAAAAACATTGGTTAGAAACTGAGATTACAAATACAAGCCCAAAATATACAAATACATATAATATGCATATATATACATAATTATATATTCTAATATATATATCTAAAAATACGGATCGAAGCGGATATCCGACTTTTAAAAAAAGCAATATTTGATATTTGCTCCGGTTTTTACGAATATTATATTTCCCTATTTGCTTTGTCCCAAAATTTTACGGATATCCGGATTTTTCGAATCGAATCAAATCGAATACCGAGTCGAAGCGGATCTATCGAATATTTTGCCCAGGCCTACAACTATGTAACCTATCCATTTTTTCAAGATTCATCATTGATTGTTTAATATCCGTTCGGTTTGGAAATAGTAGTATTTGTCATTAAATGAAGTTTAAGAAAAACAGACATATTTCACTTTTCGTGACTTAGTGAAACCATTGTTTCATGTCTGTAGACTACCGACGGTAGTGTATCTCTTTTCCATGGGCTATGAAGACAGACTCAAACGCAGTCGCATGAAAAAAAAAGCGATTACAATAAAAACCACACGTCTTCAGTGTAAACAGTAACGTGCCGTGTATGGACAGCGACTTTTATTTGTTTCTGTTATTAAAAATATTATAGTGACATAATTAATTAACCTATCTGTCGTTATTAAGTAAACCACGAAACGACAGAGAAATAACATGCAATGAACTCCCTCTCCAATTAATTACCTCGATTTTTTTAAAAAACTACTTTTATACTTTTCTCTTTTGCTAATAAAATTCACCGATGGTCATTTGGTGTCACCAATTGTTTAAAAAATATATTAATGATCTAACTACCAATTCTTCAAGAACTCTGTTTTTCTAGTAGCATGATGTGTTTGGTCTCTCGTACGGGTTGTCAATCCCAAAGATACATCAAGGGACGGCGTAAAGTCGTTGGGTATGTGTCATCTATATGTGTTTCACCATTCGAGTTGACTTTTGTCTGATTTTCTAAAGTTTTAAATTTGCAGGTGTATTCCATACAGACTCAAGATTTCGAGTGATGGCACAATTAGCAATGAATTTGAAGTTCTTGTTATTTCATCACAAAAGGGTGTGTTCCCAAATGTACTAACTTTTAGCAAAAGCAGAGGAACATTCTATGAAGGATTAATGTTGCCGTCAGGGCCGTGAAAGAAGAGTTTGAGCTTTGGCCTGAACAACATCTTCGTCAAAGGATATGGATGAAACTTGATGAAGCAAGAGAAGCTTGTAGAGATTGTTGGATGAAGGAAGCTTTAGATGTTTTAGTCCAAAGGCTCTCTTCACCATTAGTGAAGCCTATGGAAGAAGACAAGAACATTCCACTGATCTCTATCTGCTGAAAAAACCAATCAGACGCGTGTTCTTGATCACTTTGTAGATAACATTTTACTCCTGCCTTTTCGTGAGGAGTATACTACTGCTCAAGGAGAAGTGTGTACAGAGCAACGAAAAGATTGTAGATTTCAGGTATGTGGAGCAAGACAACATCATGTGAACTTGGCCGAGATTAGTTTGGGTTTCGGTTTTGTTTACCAAAAAAAAACGTTTTGTAATTGTTGTCATGATGTATCCGCAACTGCTTAGGATAAATGGAAGGAAGAAGATAAAAGCAAAGAGTGCAAACAAAAAGTTGTACAATAATGTTGCCTCTCTTTGTATCTCTCCTCATCGTCCTATCTGATTTGACAGTGAATATATGATCTAAATGAAACTAATAAAGATAATATTCAGAAAACCATTTTAACAAGAAAACTCCATGATACAGGGATTTTTTTTGCAGATATTTGTTATTATGACTTTCAACTAAGAAGAAAAAACCTATTAATCATGATAATAAATAGGCAAAACCGACAGCTATGTAGGACTAAATTTTTTAAAATGCTATTCTTAGTTCAATATAGAGAGATATAAGCTTGAAAATCAAGTTTTCAATAAAAGTTAGGTTTGGTATATAATCCAAAAAAAGGAAAATTTAGGTTAGTCACGATGGTGGGATCACTCACGATGGTGAAGACATGAAGAACATGCTGGTGAGGTAAAACAGAGATTTTAAAAAGTAACATGAGAGATAGAATAAGAAAAACTTTGATATATTTCATCTCTCGACCCCTTTAAATAGAGGTGAGCGAGGCTTGATAAATAGAGGCCATAGTAGGAGTAGGAATAGAGTGAAAATATATATGAGATGAACTAGCAATTTACCCCGGAAAAGAAATGTTCCATGCCAACATTGTGGATTTGAGGAGAAAAGTTGAGTTTGAATTAGTTGAGAACGTGTCTAACCTTTTGTGTTTTTCAATTTTACGTTTTATTTTTCAAAACCAATTCTTTTACTTCTATTAAATTGTGAAATAATAAATATGTGGCAGATTTTTATTGGTTAGATGACTTGTGATTTATAAGAGAAAAAGCTAATCATATTAATTTATATTTTTATATAATTATAATTACATCTTTTTGAAAGTTAAATATGATAATCAATTTATTTAACTTGTTTTGTATTAGTTACTTTTAATGTTTTAATCATCAAAACATATATATTAATTAATTTAAAACCCGTTTTGTAATTGTTTAAATATTTTGATGGCAGAAACTGTAAAATTCCGTAAGTATAAAAACAATAATCTTAACTCGTCTCACTATATAATTGATTAATAGATATATATTGACTATTTTTAATATTTTCTTTTTATCAAGTTAAAAAATATCTTGATCTAATTTTTTTTTTTCAAGTTAATAATTTACATTTTATAAATTATAAATTTATTAATATTTAACTTTAATTTTTTTTATGCACGTTTTTTTTTGTTAGCTGAAATATTTTCAAAAATATATTATGTTGTTTTGTGTGTATGTTTACCAAATTTTGATTTTATGATTTATAAAAATAATTGATGTACTATATTATTTAGTTATATTTATCATTTGATTTGAAAATTTTGATATATATGAATTTATTTTTTTACTTTCGTTTTTTAACTTTTAAGATAATAGTTAAATATTTTAAAAGCGATTTTCTATCGAAACTGTTGATAGGTTAGTTGGTAAAGTATCATGTTTTGGGGGAATAGTGGTGGGTTTGATTCCTCAAAGCCTTTTTCGTGGATCCTCAACTCAAAATTGAATGGGTGTTTAGGTTAGAACCAAAACCGAACCGATTATTTTGGATCGGTTCTCCTTTTTCTTTTTCTTTTTCTTTTTTGACAATCAAAGATCGATTCCTCAAAGATCGGTTCTCCTTTTTCTAGTTTCTGGGTATTTCGTGAAGCTTCTCTCGGATAAATCAAGCTTAGAACAGAGAGAGAGATCCGATTTCTTTTTCTTTTTCGACAATCAAAGATCGATTCCTCAAAGATCGGTTCTCTTTTTTCTAGTTTCTCCTTCTAGGGTATTTCGTGAAGCTTCTCTCGGATAAATCAAGTTTCAAGAAGAGAGAGAGATCCGATTTCTTTTTCTTTTTTGACAATCAAATTCTTTTTCTTCTTTGACAATCAAAGATCGATTCCTCAAAGATCGGTTCTCTTTTTTCTAGTTTCTCCTTCTAAGGTATTTGGTGAGCTTCTCTCGGATAAATCAAGCTTCAAGAGAGAGAGAGAGAATGGAGGATCAGGATCTGTTGGTGATGGGGGTGAGGGGATTTCAGGATAGACTCTCGAAGATTGAACGTAGTCTTATAACTGCAACAAAAAGTCTACACAATCTGTCTGGAGATTTTGAATATATTCAATCTTCGACTCGAGGATTTCGTACTCTTCGTATTGCTCTCGAAGAGCAATTATGGAAACTCTCACGGTCTAACCCGGAGATTCTACGCTATGATTTATGTTCGGTACGTCCTTGTGGTTTGTTTGTTTGTGTGGGTTTGACCCTTTTTTGGGATTTCAAGTAAATACTTGTTTGATGCAGAACGAGTTAGAGAGGTCGACAATTAACATAGGCGAGAGTTTGGCGGGACTTTCTAGCTCCGAGAAGGAACTGATGGTCTTGTTGGAGACTATTAGCAAGGAAACTTCCGCGGTCTATAGCGATTTGGAGGACAATGTGAGTGTTCGCTTACTGTTTTCTTAGCAATAGTGGAAATTAATTTTGTATGTTTTATTTTGGTAGGATGAACTCATTAGAGGCAAAAATCTTGATCAGAGGTTGAAAGCACATCTAAATGGTGTAAGTAGCTAATGCTTGTTTCATAGCCGTCTATTCCTGGTTTCTTTTCGTAGCTTACTCTAGTGTTGTCTCTACTTCTATCAGGTTAACAAAACTATGAATCGTGTGTCTGCCTCTTTAGAGGATCATAAGAAAAAATTTGATATGCTTTGTAAAGATATTCAAACTTCATCAGACGCATTCAGCCCCTACCAAGATGCTCTATCTACCTCGGTAAGTTTTCAATGTTTGCATAGTCCTTTTGACTGGAGATTTCACATTTTCTATTGTTTTCATACATCTTATTGACTCGAGAGCAACAAACATTAATCTTTTCATCCTGTTATTTTTGTATCTATAGCTGGTGTTTACCATTTCCAAGCAAATTCATTTTCCTCTTTTAAAAAGATTTCTGGGGAGTGATGAGGAAAAAGCAATGGGGAGCCTGACAGATGCAGAGCTGCGCATTGTTGATGGGATTCTCAAATATATTCCAGTCTTGCAACTGAGACGCCTCATGAATACTAATCCTCATTCTGATATCACCATCATCAAGTGCTGGGACAGAGTTCTATTTTCTTACTGGAAAGAAAATAAGGTACGATCTTTCCAAACCTCTCACCTAACCTAATAGCTTTTTTTTGTTTGGGCTGGCTACCAACACTTATAGAATTCATAGTTAAAGCCTTCTAACGTGTGCTTGTACCCATACTCGCTTACTTTCGCTTTTCCTTTCTTTCTATCCTAGCTTTGCACTGCAGAATATTGAGCATATTCATTTTCTAATCAATCTTCAAACAACAACTTTATTGTTCTTATCTTAGGATCATGTAACTGTGGATGAATTTGGGAACAGGTGGTCCTCAAAGATGGGCGATATCATAAACCAACTAGACCACGGTAAACATGCTCAATTATTAATCTTACAACCGAGTTCTAAATGGAAATAAATACAAGTTAACCATCTTGTCTTTTTTCTGGTAGAGGTATGCTGGGCAATCGTTATCGTTGACCTTGTTAGTGCTGTGAGACACATCTTGAGACGCGACACCCAGAAAGTAAAATATTCTGCTCAATATCTTGTTGATTTCACAAGAGCAAATTCACGTTCACGTTCTAGTTCTAAAAAGAACAAACCCGGCCATTCTTGTTACGCTTGTCCTGTTCTTGAGGGGTTGAAGTATGTCCAAGAAAACGGAATCGAAACGGAAGCAGCACGTCCCTTTGATAATGCTTTTTGCAAAAAAGGTTTTGAGCGAAGGAGTTCCTTGAACCTAGCGTACATCAAAGATGTGGTGAAATTGTCGAGCATTGAAGAAACAATTAAAGCATTGGATAGGCATCCTGTTGCAGCTACCATACCTATCTTCGAGCCAGAGTACTCAATGATTGGAGAGGTAAATTCTTTTAATTTGCAGAGAGAACAAACATATTTGTGTAACTTTCTTTTTTATTTATGCCTTTGTTGATTTTGCAGAATATTTACCGGGGCCGTACTTCTACCATTTCAAGATATAGTACTACTCATGCCATAAATATTACGGGTGTGGGAAAAGATAAGAAGACTGGTGAGAAATTTGTTTGGGCGAAATCAAGCCACGGTTTGAAATTTGGTGTTGCTGGATACATGAAGGTGTCAATAGAGATGATGATGATGTGCCTTACGACCGGTAAGTATGGGGAGTTTGTTGACAACCCATTTCGGTCTCTGTTCGAATTTGTGTACCCAACCCTTCTCTCCGAGGAAGATGAAGAAAAACGCAAGAGACAAGAGGATGTCACTTCGAATGCTTGATTCCAAACTGGTGGAACAGACTGATGTAGGGAGACTAATCGTTTAAGACTTTCAAAATTCTTGTTTAATTTCTTATTTTCCTTTGTGGGGTTTTTAGGTGTTTGCCCTCTTTGCAAAAGAAAACCCATACAATCCGATCCTACCCTTTTTGTGGTTGTTCTGAAACAAACTTGTGAGAGCAAACAGCTTATACTTGCTTTCTTCTAGAGTTAATTGATCAAGCTTCTGTTTTTCCTTTCCCCAAAAACAAAAACAGGTGAGCGTTAATAATATTAACATCCAATTACATCACTTAATGTGCATTTGAATTGGTAAAATGGTTTTATAAAGATTAGAGCCAATGGACAGACAAAGGACGAACACTCTTGACATTCAAATCAAAGTTACAGCAACAAAGAAGTCATTAACTCATTACACGAGTAGCACACAACAAGCGAAACATTGAGAAAATAAAATGTAGCCACAGCACCATCTGGAGAAACAACTCTCAGATCGATAGTTTACATGATAAATACATAATGGGACAATAGGGTACTTCTTAACACATCAACATCTTGAATTCAAGCGACATCTGGTTTGGTTTTCCAGTCGTTGTTCTCCTTATGACAGCATGGAAGGGAAAACCGTGACAGGTTGAGAAGGTAATGTAGAAGTTTGCATTCTCCGCCTTGGCCTTCAACTTCAGATTCGGCTCCCGGGTTTGCACAATTACATATAATAGCTCCAATGGCTTTGCCCACTCCATTAGCCTGATAGATTCCCAGTGGGAGAACAATGTGATTTCCGCGTACAGAAGAAACAACTCCTTGTGTTCTTCCATCTCTGATTTCCTCAACAAGTAGAATTTCGGATTATTAAGCATATTACCGAGCCTCCACCTATCGTGAGGCAAACGATCTGGCATAGGACCTTTGAAGAAATCATCCGGGGCAAGTGTGTCACCTTCCACCTCTGAGGTACACACACAAGTAGAGATGGAAAACATTAGACACACAAACAAAACAAATAGATGGAGAGAGGTTTGCTTGTGCCCAATTGGTTTGATTAACAATTTACCTGGAGTTTGCGGCCTGTGGAGCGTTGTAATCAAACTCAAGGAACAGTCTTCTTCTTCATCTTTTTGAACGGCAGCCCTTGTTTCAAACTCGCAAGTGGAATTGCGCATTATCAAAGAATGTGATGCTTTAGCATCGGTATGATCCTCAAAGTCGGTAAGATCCTCAAAGCCGGTATGATACAGATACTGGAAGTCATGTGGATCATCCGAAAATTGAAAGTTTGTCCCCTACAAGACAAGATCTCAAAATAAGCAAAGACAAAACAAAGCAAGAAAAAGAGAGATCAATTTACCTTTTGCAGATTGTAGCAACCAAGTCCAACTTCAGCCAAGAATTCCTGTTTGAGAGAATTGAGTCAAAACACACACATATATTTTGCATAAACAATTTAGAATCAGTAGTAGTAGTAAATTACCATAGGTGGAACCGCCCAGTCTACCTTCTGGGGATCAGAACATATATCTTTGTAGACATCACATTCCGGCAATTCTCCCGGAGCCATTGGTTCATATGTTGGTGAATCGGGTTGTTCATGACAGCTGTCAGTTGGTGATTGTGAAGAGGGCAAGGATGGTTCATATTCCTCCACCGGTGGTACAAAGTAGACATCTGGATCGCCTTCATCCTCATAGTAAAGAGCTCCTATACGCTTCGGCTCATATGGGTACGGTGGATCAGGAAAAATAATGAATCCCTAAGAAGAAGAAGAAAAAAATTTAATGCAAAACATGAAAATCGCTGGTCATCCACAGTAAAATCCGATTACCTTACGACCGTAGGCGCGATCATTAGTGCCTTCTCCCAGGAACATTCTTGGAAAATCTCACCAAACCCTAAATTCTAAATTCTGATAAGAGAGAGAGAGGGAGGATTGATTAGATTCATTAGACTCAGAACCCTAAATTTCACCTATCAAACCACAATATGAACATTTATGAAAATTGAAAAGAGTAGATCTCAGATGAGATCCGATGCAAAGCGAAACGAAACGTAACGTACCTTTCCTCTCTATCGCCAACTTACGATTAAGGTTTCGTGTTTATTATAAAGTTCTGTTAACCAATTGACAAACACGTTCAAGTAGGGCTCAAATATGCTCATTTGATACTACGGCTCAGTATCTCTATTTGGCCCAACTAGCCCGGTTATTTTGATGATGACTGAAGTTCAAGTAAAAAGAGATTTTCATGTTTTCGAATTAAGAATTGAATTTTTTATTAGTAAAAAGAGATTTTGGCATCTTCGAATTAGCTAAGTTCTGTAACTGTAAAGTTTTTCTTGTTGATTAAAAAAATGTTTAAACTTGTCCCAAACTGACCGCATATTCCTTTTAGACAGGCCCGGCTTATAGGCCAAGCATGTGAAGCAAAGGATTAGGACATCAAAATTTTGGGGACATTTTTTAGGCCAATTTTCTTAAAGTTTAATTTATATATATAAATTATATTATAAACCTCTTTTTTAAAAGATCAATATTTTGGTGGGCTTCTTTCAATCATATTTGTGGGGTTTAAATTAAAAAAATATATAATTTTGTGTATAATCTACTCTTTTTCTAAGATAATTTTTTGATAAATATGTGAATTTTATTAAAAACAAAGAGTTTTTATTTTACTTTTTCCAGCAAATGAAGAGTTAATTTACAAAATAGTTTTAATAGATTAGGATCAATTAACCTTACTAAATAAATGTAAAAGATAAAGTAAATTTAACAAGTGAGCATAGGTTAAAAAAAATTTTGTATAAAAATGGAAAAATGGTATGCTTTTCTTAATTTGCGTAGGGCATCCGAAAACGTTGGACCGGCCCTGCTTTTAGACGTGAAAAAACGAATTTTCTTTTTCTGTTAAGTTTCTAATCTAATAAGTTTGGTTAAGAAAAATCACTTCCACTATCTACGAAAGATCAAAGTTTGGTCATTATTGTCAATATGCTTCTACTTCCGCAATCACAGGTGGTAAACTTCTTCTGGAGATGAACAGGATTTTAAGGCCTAATGGATACTTCATTTTGTCAAGTAGTAATGACAAGATTGAGGATGATGAAGGTAATAGAACGACGTTTGAGCACTCTCTTGTTTTCCATTATATATATATGAAATAACCTAATCAATAGAAAAGCCTCATTCCCAACCTTCCACAATATCAATTGCTTTTGCACCGTTTTTCTCTGTCATTGTTCACTCTGTTTTTGTCAATGTCGGTGTTTCTATCCACTGAGAAAGAATCTTGAATTTTTCAAGATATGGACAAGATCAATACTGATGACTTGCTGGTGAAGATATTATCATTTCTTCCAACAAAAGTTGTTGTAACCACTAGCATTTTGTCTAAACGATGGAAGTTTCATTGGATGCGGGTGCCAAAGCTTGAGTATGATGATCGTGACACTAAACCTTCCAATCGCCGGAGGTTACGACGTTTTATCAAAAGGACATTGCCACTGCATAGAGTTCCCGTTTTGGAACGCTTGCGTCTCGAGCTTAGTTCTTTACCATTTCAACCAGAAGATATCAAACTATGGGTTGAAGTTGCAGTCTCTCTCTCTGTGCTGGAGCTTAGCATTGACTATTATTCTCATCAATACAAATCTGCTACATTGCCATTTTGCTTGTACACCTGCAAATCGCTCGAGACCCTCGCACTCTTTGATGCAATTCTCATGGTTGTTCCTCGTATGGCTTGTCTTCCATCTCTGAAAAACTTGCTACTATGTGGAGTGAGATACGTAGATGAATCTTTTCAACTACTCGATGTATCTCGTACGGTTTGTTTTCCCTCCCTGGAAACTTTGTTCCTTAAAGACGTAGTCTTCTCCGATGAAAAATATCTCGATCGCTTCTTGCCAATTGCCCTGATCTTGAATATTTGGTCATGGAACTACATGAATATGATACTATGGGAGCTGTCCACATCATTGTACCTTCTTTGAAGAGTTTATTATTAGTTATAGATTGTGATCATTCTCCCGATGTGGTTGAAATTGTTGCTCCTTCTTTGGAGTACATCAAACTAAATGATCACAACAACAATAAATTCTTGATAGAGAATATGCCTAATCTTGAAGAGGCATACATTGATGCTAATATCTTTGAATGCGAGAAATTTCTTGGAGCTTTCACATCTGTTAAGCGTCTAAACTTGTGCTTAATTAATGCTCCAAAGATCCGAGGTGATATCTTTTTTTTTTAAAATCTTTATATATGAAATTTAAATCTTAGTAGTTATCATTATTATCTAACGTTTAGTTATGCTATGAGCAGGCTAGGAATTTTTTTTTTTTTTTTTTTTTTTGGTAAAAGAGCAGGCTAGGAATGTTGCTGCAATTTGCTTCAATCAACTCAAAGTCTAAAGATTTGTACTTGTAAACCATATTGGTCGGTAATACTTCTCCGGTTGCTCAAAGGATCTCCTAATCTAAAAGTCCTAGAGGTTGACGGCGACAATGTAAGTTTCATTAATCTATTATAGTACTATATATTAAGACTTTGGTCTTAATCTCTAGTGTTTGATTTAACTTACATTTTTCGTTCTCAGAATATTCCCGAATGTTTTAAGGCTCCACTGGTTTGCTGGGATCAAGTGACACCTGTGCCAGAATGTTTGCTGACGAGTCTAGAGACTTTCAAGTGGACAGGCATACCATCAAGACAAGAAGCGAGAGATATGGTTGGTTATATAACCAATAATTCTCGTTGGTTAAAGTCTGAACCGGCCCGCGGGACATATTTTCCCGGTTCGATGATTCATGTCCTTATTCGTGGTAATGATGTTCTTTTTCTATAATCTATGGAAAACCGCATGTCGTTTCGTGTGTACTAAACAGCGAACAGTTTTGATCCTGAAAGACGAAATGGTAAAACTTTTAAACGATAAGATCGTTAGGTCAGAAAGAAAAGAATCATCTTCTTCCACCTCACTTTCTTCCCAAATCACTGTTTTTTATGTTTTTCCTCTTCGTCACCGTTGACTTTTCGCCATTTTAACCGACATATAAAACTTGTAATTAAACAGATAACAAGATATTATCCTTAAACAAGACTATATCAGCTCAACGGGGTCCATCGTAATCCTCGGACACGCGCTGCGTTCCCATTAGATCGACAAGAAAAAGCTGTGATCTTTGGTGGTGGGTTCGACAAGTCTAATCTTGGCCATTAACAAAATTTCTTCTTTAATCTTTTTTATTTTAGACGTTGACAAGAAGATTAATATTGTACACTACGAGACTCGACGAGTCAATTTTAACCAGATTTAGAGGATTTGTGGATGTGATTTCTTCTTTTGGTGAGTTCGTCTTTTATATTATTCTTTTCATTCTCTTCGGATCTTCATAGTTTGAGAAGCTTTGTGTGTTTTTTTAAAGGTAGTTCCTTTGTTGTTGAAGAAGCACAATTTCAATTTCAGAGCTACTTGAAACTTTAATTTTTTAACTGGGTCAATCTTGAAAGTTTGAGATTCTATAGCAGATTATCTTAGCGTTTCTGCATCTGCCAAAGTTTTAATCTTTAAATATCTTCCGCGTTTGCGATTATATATACTTATAGCACAGCAGTCTATAGTTGTGTTCAATGGGAATCTTCCCTTTTAGGACAGAATGATTCTCTTTTCCCGTTTAAGTATTCCTCGTTTCATGTCCTTATAATAAGGCTTTTCTGTTCCTCAAAACCAGGTCTCTCTTTTTTGGGATTTTTCATTGGAATTGAGAGCATACACATGTGTTTTTGGAGTGAGAATTAACTTTGGGTTGTTGATTCTCTTCCTCTGGTCATGGAGGAGCCTTGTGAGACACTTGACAATGGTGAAGCCTATCAAATATCTAGATATCATAACTATAACCAACACAGCTCCAGAAGCTTATCACCCTGGTTGGATTTGAGAGTGTTCTATGTCCGGATAAGCAATTTCATGGTGGAAGATTCAACTCCTGAAGTCCTCACTATCAATCACATTCCTCTGGATCCAAATACGGTTCTGGAGATAAACGGTGTTAGAATGGGAATGTACTGGGAAGGAGGTTCTTCACAGCTTAGGAGAGATCGGGTTGATAAGAAATCTGAAGAAGCTACTTATGTCAGCACAGACAATATCAGGCTAACGGGTAGTGTGAAGTTTGAGGTTTTTGACAAAACTGAACTAGTCTTGTCTGGAACTCTTGAGATGTGTGGTAGTAATGGTTTAACTGGGGAATCAAAGAATCGATGGAAGATGAATTGCGAGGCTGAGATCAGTGCAGGGTCTGGTTTCTTTAAGGAGAAGAGCATTAACGGTCAAGAGTTATTGTCCCCATTGCCAACTATCGAGGTCTATGTTACTGGTTGCTTCTTAGGAACACCCATCATCTTAACCAAGACTCTGCAGCTTGGTTTGAGAAAGAAGCAGAGTAGAAGAATGGCATTGGATTCAATTCCTGAGTATGAAACTGCAGAACCTCAGAAAGAGTACACCTCCTCTGCGCTTGATCTTCAGGTAACTTTCAAGTTGTCATTTGCCATGATTAAAATTCGTTCTCTCATTGTTCTAAGATATATCATATGCCTGATGCAATCCTCACAGTTTTCTTGAACAGTTTGTTTTGTGTTCAACACATTAATTATTATCCCTGATGAAAAACTTATAATTCATAACATGTTGTGATGATTTTTGGATCCTCTTCTTTCCCCATTGAATACATGTGTGTTGTTAGTTTTATGAAGATAAAAGTCCTTAATAAACTGAAGTGGACCAGTCTCTTCCTGATGAATTTGGCATGTGGCCTAGACACAGTTTACGACTGAAGAGATAAATAGGAATCTCTCATTTGCCTCCTTTATCTTTAAGCTCTTATCCTTTTGTCTGCTGCGTCTATGACCCACATATGTCCATCACTTACAATCCCCCAATATTTGCTTTGTTGTAATGTTGTGATTTGAAGTCTCTTGGATTCTTCGGAGATGGACCATTTTAAAAATCATCATTCTTTGTATAGTAAGTATCATTCTTATTGTCTGTAGGCAACAGAGTACGCGAACTACAAAGAGGAATACGAAGGAGACATGTATTGGAGAAGTGAGTGCATAGATGGAGAGATGACATGGTTTAATGCAGGTGTAAGGGTTGGTGTTGGGATAGGACTTGGTGTCTGTGTTGGTCTTGGGATTGGTGTCGGTCTTCTAGTTCGTACTTATCAATCAACAACCAGAACCTTCAGGAGGAGGCTTCTCTAGTTTAGTAATACACACATTTGCACCTTTTTTTTACCTTGAAATTTTGAAAGAATCATCTTTTTAAAACCGTTTGTATTTGGGTGTGATGTGAATTAAACACATTGGTATGTGGATATGTTTGGTATTTGTTTTGCTGTAAATAAACGAGTGAGAATGTAGCTTTTTTGTATTCAGAATTTGGCTGATGAGAACTAGCAAACTAGCTCTGTAACTTGAATTTTTTGGCAGATGGGTCTACAAATTCTAATTTGAACTTTTTGGCTTCAACGTCTTGTCTTGGAACATTGATTCTACTTTCATATCGATCAGATTTTTTTTTTTGGCTACTCTATGCGTCTGAATAGCAAGTTAGCAACTAAAATCCTTTTAGATTGAAGCGATCTTTTTACATGTTTAACACAACCTACAATAAACCAGAATGAATACACACGTTGCTTACAACTAAAACCCTAATTCTTATTCCTCTTAACCATGAATGAATACACACGTTGTACTGATTGATTATTGAGTGGCAGACTCACTCATCACCCACAAGATACAAAAAGTTTATTTATCTTCCACTCTCACCGACGTTACTGTTTATCTCCTCCTCTTCCAGTCCTTCCCTTCACATTTTCCACCGTTCATGCGCTCTCCAGGGCCTGTCAGTACACCAATCTTTCTTTTCCAAGATCTAGGCCAACAAGTCTACAAGCTTTCCATAATTTTCTGCTCTTAAGAGAATCAAGAAAAGCAAAAGGTTGCACTTTATCTAGAATATAAAAAGATCTATATCAGAGGTTGTACAACAACCTTAAACATTCCTATTCGTTCTTGCAGATTGTTCTTCCACATTTGAGCTGATTGATTCCCTTTCCTACTTTGTGGATAGTACAAGTAATTAGAACAAGTAACATTCAGACAAAACCTTACGATTAGAAGATAGTTTTTACCAACAATCCGTGCAATTCCACAGTTACAGGGACCAACCTCCTAAAAACTTTTCAGGTAGTACTATATTCCATTGTACTACTTGGAATGCGACTATAACGTACCATGCTCACGCTGTTTCTGAAAAAAATTGACCGAACAGATCAAACATCTCTACAGGTTAAGAAAACATAATCAGTACCTTGGTCATTAGAAACTCAATGTCTAGTCTGTGATTCTCTTCGATGATAGCACTTGCAAGAAGCATATTTAATAGCACAAGTGATGCTCCATATAGAGTCTGTGATTCCATTCCTGGTTTGCACTAATGGCAAATATGCAGGAACCATATTTGAGAGCACAAGAAACAATAAGCTCAAGTGATAGATGACTCAATACTGGGCTCTGTCATCCTCTTTGTGGTATGCAAGAAGCATATGAAACAAGACACACATTCGGAGGGAGAGAGAGCCGGGCCAAGAAAGTTTATTATTAACCAATCCCGTGCCATCCCTCATCCCTCCACGAAACCAAAAAATTTATTTAGGGTTGGTGACCTGCCAAGCAAGCGCACCTGTCATGGCAAAGGTCATATACACTCTATCCCTCTCCCTATTTACAATTCTACATCTGTTTCTTTTCAGTTTGAAAGCCTAAACAAAAACCTGTAAGTGTTCAATCTATGGAGTTGATTGGAACATCATGGAGAGATGATAACTAGATCAACGAGAGTTGATAGTAACATCAACGAGGGGTTGATAGTAAGATCAACTAGAATTGATCCGATGTTGTTTTTTTCCCTGCTCTTATATTGATACCTACAGGAATATGAAACAAATTGAGTTAGCAAACTGTCATCCAATATTACAAGATCTGTAAGCAGTAGATTAGAGAAACACTAGGCATAGAAAACAATGTACCTCGCTGACAGTCCTGAAAACAATGTAGATTCGAGAGATCAACGAGGGTTTGATTAGATAGGATCAACGAGGAGTTGAATCGATAAGATCAACGAGAGTTGATTAGATTAGGATCAACGAGAGTTGATTATATAGATCAAAGAGAAATTGATCGGAGGATCAACGAGAAATTGATCGGAGGATCAACGAGAGTTGATTATATGTTGTTTTGTCCCCGTAAGTTTGTATAAATCCCTACAAGATTAAGAAAAAGTTAGTATACCTTCATACGGACCAAACACAATCCAGTAATCCAACTGTACAAGACATATATGCAAAAGATCCAACAGATTCAGACACAGTAATAACGAAATCGACAAACCCTATCCGTATATACCTCGATGACAGGCCGGAAAACTTGATCAATCGCAAATCGACGCAAAAGATCAACGAGAATTGATCAGCTGTTGATTTCCCACCCGAATCCGATATATCGAGCAAAACCCTAGAAACACGATTATATATCAAACAAGGAGATTCGAAAGATAATCAAAGTAAGCAATAAGAAATCTCAGTAAAAAATAATCGGAATTTGAAAAAAGAAATACATGAGAATGTAGTGAGTGCCGATTTTTGCCAACAAGCTCTGTAAATAGATTACATGGGTCTGCAAATAGCGTCTGCAAATTCTATCTTATTCACTGAATTTTGGATTCAATGCCTTTGATTAGTTCACTCAATCCTTTTATATGTTGGTCGAAACAATCACTCTATCATTGTGTCCAGCTAAGATCTTTGTTGTGGAGTACGGAATTTTCTGTCTTTTTGTGGTCCAAAATTGTCTCATAATTAAACCAAAATTTATAAAGTAGTTAATTAGTGTAGAAGTCAATGATAAGCTTAGAGAGATCAATGGATTTTTGTATTATACTAATGTTTTTAGATGCTTTTCCCACCCAACCAAACAAAAAGTTGAATTCTTCTAAAGAAGAAATTTTGCACATTAGACTTTATGAGAAGTGAATTGAGCAGAGCCCATTCGTCAGCCTTAATTTTATTTTGGGTGAATAAAATTAATCTTGGTCAAACTCAAGAGGGGAAAACCTGATTAAAGAAGGTGAGTGATTTAATTGGTACTAAAGACATAAAAAAAAAAAAAAAAAAGATTAAGAGATAATGTAATTATTGGGAGGTACCAAAATGAAACTTAGAACTATATATGGTTGCTTACGGTTTTTATCTTTATTAAAAAAGGAAAAAAAAAAAAACTGGGTTGGTTGACCTTGAGCTATCAGAAATTTGCCATTGGCTGATTTTTTCTCCCAAGTTCTTCTTATGAAACTCTGATGTTGTTTTGTAACTTTTATTGCGAGTCGCCGAACATTCCCCTTCTTCCACCCGGCGTGCTTGTATAGCAAGGAACATTTTCAGTTCAGCAAGAGAAGCAAAGTCATGAGGTGCTATGAAAACATTTCCTTCTCGATTCGTCGTCTCTCTCTTCTACTTATAATTATGTCCATCTTTGATTCAAAAGTTTTCACTCTTTCAACTTCTTGTCAAACCGAATGTGGAAATATAAAGATCCCATACCCCTTTGGGATTGGTAAAGGTTGCTATCTCAACAAGTGGTACAAAATCGAGTGCAAAAACGCTAGTTTTCCGTTTCTTTTCAAGATGGGCATGGAAGTTGTGAACATCTCTCTTCCAGGTGACGAATATGGTTACTATAATTCTGGATCATTCGGATCAATTCGTGTCAAAAGCCGGATAACATCCGTTGGCTGTTCCGAAGATGGAAAAGAATCTGGATCGGTTTTGAATTTGACGGATAGCCCTTTTTTCTTTGGGTTTAGAAACAGCCTTGTAGCGATTGGTTGCAACAGCAAGGCCTCGTTGACTAACATTGAGCCAAACAAGGTGGGATGCGAGTTGAACTGCACTACAAGCAAAGAGAAGTTTCCTAGCAAAAGCATCCCTTTTTTCGACAAAACCGGATGTACTAGCAACGCGTTGCCTTATACTTACACTCCGGTTTGTACAAAGAACAAAGGGGAAGAAGAAAGAAGCTGTGATGGCAACGGATGCTGTCGTTCAAGTCTACCCGGTGATGAGGCTCAACAGGTGATCGGTGTCAAAATAGAGAGCTTTGATCATGGAAACACGACAAGCCGAGAATGCAGAGTCGCTTTCTTAACAGATGAAGTCTACACGTTATCTAATGCAACCGAACCAGAGAGGTTTTTTGCTAAAGGGTATGCTATAGTTAGAATTGGATGGGTCCTTCAGACAAAAAATCTTTCATTCCTAAACTCCCTAAGCTGCAAAAACACAGAAGAGTACGATAAACTTACATATAATATGCAACTCAGAACAAGCTGCAGATGCAACAATATCACCACTAATGGGACCAATTATGCAAACTGTGGATGCGCGAGAGGTTATACAGGTAACCCATACCGCATTGGCGGATGCGAAGGTTAGTAAAATTGTTACTAAAGTTCTCTCTTTTTGTGTGTGAAAACATCACGTGAATATTACAAATCTTTAGTGTAACATATAAAACATCGTCTGCTGATTACAATATCGATCTTTCATATCCATTATGCAGATATTAATGACTGCCTAATACGCAATCCCGATGGCAGTCGCTGGCACTGTAGAGAAAGCGACACTTGCGTGAATGTGCCTGGAAGTTTTTATTGCGTGGGCGATAAGACTGGAGCAGTAATGATAGGTAAGTTCTTGTCATGAAAAAGTCTCCCAAAGTTAAAGAGATGATGATCAACATACTGTTTTGTATGGTTTTCAGGCGTAGGTGCAGGTTTAGGCATCTTAGTCCTAGCAGGTGGAATTTGGTGGCTGAGAAAGTTCCTTGAAAAGAGAAAGATGAGTAAGAGGAAAAGAAAATTCTTTGAACGTAATGGGGGACTATTGTTGCAACAACAACTACATACAAGAGAAGGTAACGTCGAGAAGACAAGAATATTCACCTCGACAGAACTTGAAAAGGCCACTGAAAGCTTTAGCGAAAATAGGATACTTGGACAAGGTGGTCAGGGTACTGTATACAAGGGAATGCTTGTAGATGGTAGAACTGTCGCTGTCAAGAAATCCACAGTTGTAGATGAAGACAAACTAGAGGAGTTCATCAATGAAGTCGTCATTCTCTCTCAGATTAACCATAGACATGTCGTCAAGCTTTTGGGATGTTGTCTTGAAACAGAAGTTCCAATTCTGGTTTACGAGTTTATTGTCAATGGTAACCTTTTCCAACATATCCATGAAGAATCTGATGATTACACGGTGAGTTGGGGAGTGCGCTTGCGCATTGCCGTGGATATTGCTGGAGCTCTTTCGTATTTGCATTCTGCTGCATGTTCTCCAATTTATCACAGAGATATAAAGTCAACAAACATATTACTAGACGAGAAGTATCGAGCTAAAGTGTCTGATTTTGGTACTTCAAGATCAGTAACGGTAGATCATACTCACTGGACAACAATTATTTCAGGTACAGTAGGATATGTGGATCCAGAGTACTACGGATCCAGCCAATATACCGATAAGAGTGATGTTTATAGCTTCGGGGTCATCCTTGTTGAACTTATTACAGGAGAGAAACCTGTAATAACCCTTCCGAATTCTCGGGAAATAAGAGGGTTGGCGGAGCATTTCAGAGTTGCCATGAAAGAGAACAAATTCTTTGATATTATGGATGCTCGAATCACAGATGGTTGCAAACCAGAACAAGTAATGGCAGTAGCGAATCTAGCAAATAGATGTCTGAATTCAAAGGGAAAGAAGCGCCCAAATATGAGACGAGTGTTTACCGAGCTAGAGAAGATCTGTTCATCTCCAGAGGATTCACTGGTTCATCTTGAAAATGACAATGATGTGGATGAAGAGGAAGAAGGAATTAATACAGCAGACATAGCTGACATGTGGACCATTGGTGCTACTGCTCCAGCCTCTAGTATTGTTGCTTCGTCTTTCTCGTTAGAAGTTGAACCATTACTTCCTCGCCCCACATGGTGACTCAAAAAGGTGAGGCAATTGTGAACAAAATTGATGGTCCTTTCAAAGGGTCTGGCTGAAGTTTGTGCTTGAGATGTTGTTTGTCAATAATTACTTTCATGTGAATAAATGAATGTTTAAATTTAGTGAATCTGCTTACATGATTACATCTACATATCCTCATACACTGATTTTAGTCTTATATGCCTTTGGATCCTTTTAAATGAGGCAATCTCTCTCTCTGCATGTTGAACAACAACCTTTTCTGATATTGTAACAAGAGAATCAAGAAAAAACAGAAAGTCCCCCAGTTTATCTTGATTAATATAGAGAGATCTATGAGGTTTGCACAAGCACCTCTTAAACATAGCTACTTTCTTGCTTCCTCTTCCACATTATAGCTAGATGGATCCACGTTTGTTTACAAAACAATCTACTTATATAGAGTTGTTCCCTTTAGATGTTCAGTAGGTACCTAACACATGGCAAAAGTAACCATACCATATCCACCGATGCCGTGACCAACCTCTTCACAACTGTTCAGGATTTACATTTCCATATACTTGAACATCCTCCCTTCTCAGAATACGTCACTTTTATATATCTTGAAGGTAAAAATCACAACAACAGAGCATAACTTACAATTAAGTATTGCTGCATACCACATAACAAATAAGACTTGAACTAGCCTTGCAAAGAAGCCCCACATACCAAAGAAAGCCAATCTGGTTTATCGAAGATGGTACATAATTCCGCAATCGATATTTATAGACTATATAAGACATGATGGCTTGAGAATTTATAGAGAGTTCTTCAAGAAGGGAAACCTAAAAGATATACAGTAAGATCTGCAGACATATCTGATGTATCACACTAAAGTAGGAGAACGTAAACCCACCTCATTTAACTAAAATGCAATGAAAAAATATCACGAACGGCCAAGTCCCAACAAGCCAGGTTTTGACTAGTAGTACCCTTTCTTCTCTTTTACCCTCTTTTTCCAACATGCGTAAGATGATCACTCTGACTCTGTTTCTGAAAAAAGTGATTAACAGATCAAACACCTCCACAGGTAAAGAAAACGTAATCATTCCCTTTCATAGAGTCATTAGAATCTTTTCGATGATAGCACATACATACTAAATAACACAAGTGATGCTCAAGATTGGTTTTGTGATTCTCTTCCTGGTTTGCACTGATGGCGCATATGCAGGATAGTAAAGAGCACAAGTGATGCCTCATTATTGGGGTCTATGATCTTCTTTGTCTATCTGTCTTATGCAAGAAGCATATGAAACAGCAAGAAAACAAGAGAGGAACAAAGACACACAGTCCGGAGGGAGAGAGAGCCGGGCCAAGAAAGTGTATTATTAACCAATCCTGTGACATCCCTCATCCCTCCACGAAACCAAAAATTAGATCTTTTTATTAAGGGGTTTGTGACCTGCCAAGCAAGCGCACCTGTCATGGCAAAGGCCATATACACACCCTCCCTAATTTTTTGTGTACATCTGTTTCTTCTTTTCAGTTTAAAAGAACAAACAATAACCTTGTTCAAGATCATTCCTTTCTTTATCACCGAGAATTGATGATTACAGGATCAACGAGAGTTGATTAGAACACCATCGAGAGATGATAACTAGATCAACGAGAGTTGATGATAAGATCATCGAGAGATGATAAGTAGATCAACGAGGAGTTGATAATAAGATCAACAAGAATTGATCAGATGTTGTTTATTTCCCTACTCTTATATTGATACCTACAGGAATACGAAACAAATTGAGTTAGCAAACTGTCATTCAATATTACAAGATATGTAAGCAGATGATTAGAGAAACACTAGGCATAAAAAACAATGTACCTCGCTGATAGTCCTGAAAACTCTATCCATCCCATATCAGCGGCTAAGGATCAACGTCACCCGAATCGGTATAAAACAAGCCAAACCCTAAGAAGAAGATCATCTGTTAGATAAGGAGATTCAAAAGGTTAAACAAAGAAAGCACCAAAAGAATCCTTCTAATAGAAACCAAACTTACATGAAAATAACCGGACCAAGATCCTTCCTTTTCTCATTCCTAGATATACACACAAGACTTCTAATTGTTGATCAACGAGGGGTTGATTCGAGAAGATCAACGAGAATTGATTAGTTAGATCAACGAGGGGTTGATTAGATAAGATCAACGAGGGTGATTCAAGAGATCAACGAGAGTTGATTATATTAAGATAAAAGAGAAATTGATTGGAGGACCAACGAGAGTTGATGAGATGTTGTTCTGTCCCTGTATGCTCATATAAATCCCTACAAGAGTAGGAACAAAGATTGAGTTAGCAGACTTTTTACGGACCAAACATAATCTAGTAATCCAAGTCTACAAGACATATATGCAAAAGACCGAACAGATTCATAAACTGTAATAACGAAATCGAGAAACCCTATGTCCGTATATAACAACTTACCTCCATGGCCGTCCGGAATACTCGATCAGATGTTGATTTCCCACCCGAATCCGGTAAAATCGAGCAAAACCCTAGAAACACGATTATATATCAAACAAGGAGATTCGAAAGATAATCAAAGGATACAGAAGGCGATCATCATTCATCGATCACTTTTTTATATATAGAGAGGAGCAAAAGCCAGAATCCTCCTAGTCGGATTTAGATTTCAGAGAAATCCTACGTTTGTTATTTGTTTTAAGTTTAAAGCAATCGACGGTCCAGATGAAACACAAAGAGAAAAGGCGGTTAATAATTTTAAAAAGGGCGGTTAATATGTTCGCGCGTGATAAGCTGGCAAGATTCACCAATGCTAGAGAGCCACGTGTCCTAGTTTCTTGTGAATTATAGGATCCTAATGTGTTTAAAGTTTAACCATAATGGGCTAATTATCTTTTAACTTTTTATCTTGACTAAACCAATGGGATAAAAATCCAAATTTAACATAGACAGAGAACACAATTTGGTTGCTATTTTTCTCAAAGCAATATTTTATGCATTTTCATTTATTTTTTTCTTACAGATTAATCGATTATTAAGGTTACAGTTTTCGGTATTAAATATTTAATCTTATATACAGTTAAAATCTCATGTGATTCTCATGGGCTTTCTTTCTTTCGCCTTTCACAACTCAACGAGGATTGGGCTGGGCCGGAGTAGACTCTGACTTAACAAAACGAACAAGAGACAACTTTGCTATATCGGAAACGGCACCGTTGCGAACGGCAGGGGAATCACTGATCAGAAACTCATACGCCGCTTCGAAAGCTTCTCGCCAGAACCGAGGAAGCTTAACGCCGCCGGAGCGTCCGTACACATCCCACATCTGCCTCACCACTCTCTCTCTCTCTTCAATCTCCTGTCAAATTTCACAAAACTCCCAAAATTTAAAAATCTAATTTTAGTCAACATTTCACAAAAACACATTTCTTGTTTCGTACCAGGACGTCGAGATCATCGCCGACGGAGAATGCGTTAGTGCCGTCAACCGAATGGAACAAACCGATTCCTTTGAGAGAGACGGAACCGGTTAACATAGAACCAAAGGCCAAAAGAAGAAGTGCGATTAGAACCCAAAGTTTGTAACCAGCGGATTTGCGGTCATTAACAGGTTTTCTCACCGGTAAGAGCGTTTTCGATTCTTCAAACTTCATTTTTTCTAAATGATGTACGAAACTGTCGATGGCACTTGCTAATAAAGGAACACAGGATCAATGTGAAAGAGAGACTTTTGAAGTGGATCAATTGACAAAAAGTTGGTACTGGATTTTTACTTAAATAGCGCCAAGTGGGATGGGTTAAAAAGCCACCATGACGTTGACTTCGTGTTGACTTTACTAACGCGTCATCTTGCTATGGCTGCGATCATTTTTTTAAATGTGAAGATTATCCAGACGGTGGATATACAAGTCTTTGTGTCCAGACATACTTAACAATGACCAAACAAGCATTGACCTCGCTTTATAGTCTGACCAAAGCCATGATTACTTTACTTTACTTCAACCGTTCGACCAATTCACTGCATTTTTTCTTCTTTTTCTAGTAGTTCAGATTTAAGAACTAATTAATAACCAAAACATGTGTTCTAAGCTTTTGCAAAGAGGTTAATTATAATCCCAATTGTTCAAGACATACATGTGTTCACGAATGAATCAGAAACTCAGAGATTGCTTATGGCAGACAATCAACATGACATCAATTTCAGACCGCCCGTCTGCTAATATCTCATCATTGTTTCTTTAGATTGTCGTAATTTTCACAGGAAAACAAATAATTAAAATAAAGGACTTCAAATATTTAAAATCTTGATTTATAATCTGCATCCATTGAATTGGAAAAAATTAAAACCCAACAGAATTTTTAAAAATAAACGCTGAAACAAAATTGAAAACGAACGGATTAACTATAAAAACTTTTGAGATTATGGCATCAGATAATAAGGAGAGATTGGTAGTCAACACTGATACATCTGTGTGTAGGATAAGATTCTACTCATCATTTGCCAATTAAAACCCCTAATTTCTCAAAATCTATCAAGTACAAAAGAAGAATAAACATAAAACAATCACTTTCGAAAATATTGAAGAATGGACTATGAGCGATCGAGAGGAGGTTTGAGTTGCTGGATTGTTAAAATAGTTTATATAGCGAAGAGGTGACGGACGGACTAGGGTTTAGTTTTTTATGGGCTTGCTTTTTAATTTCAGGACCTAACGGGCTATAAAGTTGAAAACGGTTCGGCCCATTAACATAGGAAAAAGTCAATAACCCACCGTCGACCAAAAAAAGGTTTGACAAGATGAGAAAGAGATGTATCTGAATTGTCCGCATTCGCAATGTGAAATCAAATTCGGTCAAAAGTGAGAGATTGATATACAATATTGCTTATGAAAATGCAAGCAAGTCATTTTTTTTTTCTCGTGATTTGGGTATATCAGAGTTTAAGATCTTGACTCGGCTAAGCTTTTCAATGTGTTGTTGACATGTTGTTGAAAAATTTTTAAACTCTAGTGTATTCAAAATCACGAAATAATGAATGTGAATTATTGATTTTAAATCGCAATTTCAGAGATTTATTGAATTTGGTTAATTAAATAGAATTTTATAGATTGGGTAGAATTAGGAAGAAGAAGAAAAATACTGGGTGAATTGGGTAGAGGTCGAAAGTACAAGGTGATCCTAGTTGAGCGCATATAACGATTCCAAGACATGAGTGAACGTCGAGTGCATCTTTAAGATTTGTATTTGTGATGATGTTTTTATTGTTTTACAGTTTTAATTCAATTTATGCTTTTTTAGTTAAAAAAAATTTTGACCCCTATGATTAGATTTTCTGGCTCCGCCACTAATTAAGAATCATTCCACAAGTTATATTTTCATATAGAAATTCACAAAATGATCCATATATTCCCTGTTACTACACAAATTCATATGGCATCCTGACTTTTATAAATGTTCTTTCCTCTATATATGGTCCCAAACACTAGTAGTCAACTAGTAAGTAAGAAAGGGGTATTGACCCGATAGAGATGCTTAGGTTTCAAAGCATATTTCTTGCCATTTGAGTAATCAAAAAACTTGTGGAAGAAGAGTAGAAAAAAAATTAGTGAGACTGATCGATGGTATATTGTGTGATATATATGCTAGTATGCCGATCTCAAGAATACTAAAAATATATGAGTTTTGAATTTAATTGCATGCCTTCTATCAAATATAAGAGAAACTTCAATTACACACAAAGATTTATTAGATTTCTTAAATAAAAATTGAAACTTACGTCTTTTATATTTCTTGTGATTCATAATCTAACAAAATAAAATAAAACAACAATCTTCTAATGAAAATTTAATAGTAACATACAATCAATACATATATAAGACTAAATACGAATATTATTAATATGGTTCACCAACTGTTTGATACTAAGACCATCCAATTTCCAAATCCTTAAGAACATATTCCAAGGCCATGAACACATGTTGAGTCAAACATATTGTGTCCACTCCATCTTTATACGGTCATGCCTATATAATACACATAGTAGTATTGAGGGTGTACTCATCAACAACCTCTTCATAAATATAGAAAATCATATAAGAGAAAATGGTGACATGAAGAATGAGAACTTGTGTGGTAGCCAAGGATGACTTGCCTGCGTTTTAACAATACAATATCAAAGACTACTCGATCGATCGATAGTCTTAGAGTTGGTTAGTCGTCAGGCAGTCTCCTTGGCTATTCAAACAATTCTTGTTCTCCTCATTTCACATCTCTCTTTCGTTTTTTGGGGAAACTTAACTTAAGTAACAAACATTGATAATCGATTTTGTTTGGCCTGGCTCCAAATATAATAGTTTTTACTTTTTTGGGGGGGTTTGGCCTCTAAATTTATGTTAATAGTAAGAAAGGAAAAGGACGAAGATTTGGGGATCATGGTGACTTTGTCAATGTATAAGCATTGGGACAATGTGTTTTTGAAAAATCGAGGGCGTTGCTTCACTGTGGCCAAGAAACTTCACGTGGAGAATCTATGGATCTTGTCTTTGATTGGCATGTGTAGTTTCTATGTTTGGCCATCTAAAGTAGTCTGCCGGAAAAAATTTATTTACCGTGATACCTGTCTTCGTAAAGAAAAGGTATTTGATCTTTTACCAAGAAACTGATTTGTGCGTTTTTATTTTGTTCGGATATGAGATTTTTTTTTTTCAAAGTTAGATCTCCTGTTCTAAAAATCGGCCGCCTAGGCGCTGATCGGGTGGAGACCGCGGCGATTTTGTCTAAATCGGTAAAAAAAAATCGGTGATCCGGTTTTTGTCCGCCTAGACCGCCTAGGCGTCCGCCTAGTCCGCCTAGACGGCGCCTAGCTTTTTTTTTTTTTTTTACATCTAAAATTCAAAACATCCCATTTATATTCGTAATTTGTATAAAAAATCATAATTTTGAGCTTAAATTCTTGTTTTAATGTGTTTAATGTAATTTTAAAAACGATATTACATAAATTTTTTTAATTATAATGGATTAATATGTTTTTAAACATTAAATAGCTATAAAACTAACCTCGATTAATCTCCGTTTAATCTCTGATTTTCTTGCTAAGAGTTAGACCCACCATCACCATCCGACTAGCGCCTAGCAATTTTTTTAACACGGATTAGATCACTTTAATTTTATTTCTTGGATGAGAATAACTGTTAGAAGTTATATAACATTAAGGAGTTTTCATCAATTCGGTTATCTATCACGAATTAGTACATTCGTAAATTAGTAATTACAAGAAAAATTGTTCGATTTACATGTGAATATTAGTTATAATCCTAGTCATATAGTTTATCGACAAAATCATATTGTGTAAAAAAAAAGTAAAACAAAATCATATAATGGAAAGATTTTTTTTTCAAAAAAAAAAAGTTAATACATCAAGTTAAAAAAATCAATGTTAAAAAGATATTACATCATAAATAGTCCTAAAAATATCTTAAGACATCTCTCACTCGTCTTAGCGCTAAAGCTTCACCGTGACCCGAAGACGACCGGAGCAAATTCCGGACACAAAGATCTCAAATTTCGACACTTTATCGATTTTCTTGCATCACCCAAACAAAATCTGAGTTTAGACTCCAAGCCGGACAGATCTTTCTTCTCTTTCCAGATCCTAAATCTTCATCTCCTACAGATCTGCATAAATGGCGGTTACTCACTGATTCAGACTCGGAAACAAAAGAAGAAAGCTTTCTTGCTTAAACTTTTCCATTACGTTAATGGCGGATCCTCTAAACGGCAAGTCCTTCTTTTTCTGCTTCTCCCTCATAACCTCCTTTACTCTACTTTTCATTTCGCCGTCGTACGCCAACGAGTCTCCGGTAATCGAAGATGTTTCTACCGATGTAGCTGTCTCTGTTAGCGAACCCGATCGAGAAGCTGTTCTTTTGCATAATCTAGAAGACCTCGTTAAGAATTTGACAGATTTAGTCGCTAATCTAGATGCTAAGTTATCTGAAACTTTATCAAAGGAGAAGAACGAGATCACTATATCAGTTGATGATGATATCGGAGAAGAGAAGGAGAGAGGAGGAGGAGGAAGAGCTAAGGCGTTTTCAGTGACTAAATACAGTCCGTTTTGGTCGGAGAGGTTTCAGTTTACATCAGCTGTGAAACTCAATTCCGATGCGACTTGTATCAATGTGTTGCCGTTTAAAGATTTCGAAGGTTCGAGCAAGTACTTTGCAATTGGTGATTCTAGAGGTAGAGTTTATGTGTTCTTGAGAAATGGTGATGTTTTGATTGAGTTTTTCACCACTGTTGATTCTCCGGTTACTGCTATGGTTTCGTATTTATCGGTGTTTAAGAACTCGAGTTTCGTGGTTACCGGTCATCAGAATGGTGCGGTTTTGTTGCATCGAATTCACGAGGGATCGAATGGGGAAGATTGGAACTCGAATTCGGTTTCTATGGAACATGTTGGGAAGTTTGATGTGGATGATTCGGGTGATCCTGTGACTTTGTTGGAAGTGCATCATGTGGGTCGGGTTAGGTATATATTGATGACGGATTTAAGTGGGAAGCTCACGGTTTTGACTGAGAACAGAACGGTTTATGGGTCGGTTATTCCATCGAGTAGACCGCTCGTGTTCTTGAAGCAGAGATTGTTGTTTCTTACTGAGTCTGGTGCTGGTTCCTTGGACTTAAGAAGCATGAAGATAAGAGAAACTGAGTGTGAAGGACTAAACCATTCGCTTGCCAGAACTTATGTTTTTGATGCTGCGGAACGGTCTAAAGCTTATGGATTCACATCCGAGGGCGAGATCATTCACGTATTGCTTCACGGAGATATAATGAACTTCAAATGTAGAGTTAGATCCAAGAAAAAATTCCAAATGGAGGAGCCAGTAGCTTTACAATCAATCAAAGGCTACCTTCTTGTTATCAACGAAGAAAAGGTTTTCGCTTTCAATGTATCGACTCAGCATTATGTCCGTACAGCGGGTCCTCGGCTTTTGTTCTCTGCGGGATTAGAAGAGATTAGATCCGCGTTCTTGAGCCATCGCGAATCATCTTCAAGAACCGCAGTAGTAAAGACGAGGCCTTTGATAGCTAGCGACCGGGAAAACCTTCTTGTGATCGGTTTAGAAAACGGATATTTCGCTGTTTATAAATCAAAGCTTCCAACTCTCAAAGGAGACTTCAACACAATGCTTTGGAGCAGTCCTGTGTTCTTCTTCATACTATTTCTATTCGGGGCTTGGCATTTCTTTGCCAAGAAGAAAGAATCGCTCACTGCATGGGGACCAGATGATCCTTTTACTCCGACTGCGTCACAAAACAGTTCGGCGACAGCGCCAACATTTAGTGAACCTTCAAGAAGAAACGATGACCTCATGGATCTACGGAGAAGGTACGCTGGTGGCACGTACCGGTCAGTTGGAGCTAACGACCCGAGTTCAAGAGCCCCGGTTGATGGAAACTATAGAACAACCGCACAGGATCATAACAACTATCGCGGCGGCTCGGGTCTTGATTCAAACGGTTTTGGTAATAGAAGAGACCATTTGTTTGGTAACAACAAAGTTTTGGACAACGAAAGTTAGTATCTTTGGATTACTTACAAATTCTGGCTCGTAATCACCACTTCAAAAATTGTAATCTTTGTAAGTTTATATAAACGCTAAAGTTTTTTTATTACTCGTTCGTTTTTCTTAACCGGAAAGTCTCTTGAAATTTTCGAATAATGTAAAACTCTGGTCAAAGAATAATTATACTTTGCCAATTTTCTATATAGATGAATTTAAATATAAGTTTGACAGCAACTTAATCTCAATCATAGTCAAGATGTGTTTTTCCGTCTATCATATCTCATGTGTGATCGTGCTAGCAAGTGGATAAATAATTGATGTGAGCCTTCTTTGTTTAATTTTTCTCTATAATCTCGATTTTATAATGTGTTATGTTGACCGTCAGATGAGTCAGCGAAAAAGTCATCTCATCGAACGGTTAAAACTTCATCTTCAACTAAAGAATTTCAGAAAGGAATCTACATCGTGTGAAGTAGAGGAACATTACTTACGAGCTTTTGATTCATCGTCGTCTTCGGAGACGAAGCCCAAACACACAAGCTCTCTCTTTCTCTCAACAACTTCAAAAGCCGGAAGGTCTGACCCGAGACCTCCGAAGAAAACAGAACATTTCTAGGGTTTTGCTCTGATCCACCACATTACCAAAACTTTCTTCAATAAGGTGATAAAAAAAGGAGTCTTTTTTCATTTTGAGCTTCTGGGTCTTGGCTTCTGATTTCGCTAGTGAAGGGAAGAGAAAAGTCAACGGCCATGGCGGGTCGTAGAGATAGAAGCCAACAGCTCCGTGGATCTCGAATTGCGATCGCCATCCTCATCGGTATCTTTATCGGTTGCGTGTGCGCCGTTATGTTCCCATACGGCTTCTTCAACTCAAGCTCATCTCTGAAAGTAAACGAACGTCTTTCGAAATCAAGTGACCAGGTACTACATCTTACGCCCTAAATCTCTAAAGCTCTAATTTTTGCGGCTCTGTGATCGAGTTACATATTATAGTTGTTAAGTGGTTAGTGTCTAAACATAGAAATTCTTCTTGGTATGTGTTAGTTGCAGATTAGGTGAACTTTATCTTGAAACTGGTTTGGTTGATTACTGGATTTTGTATCTTAATTTGGAATTAAGTTGAGTTGTTTCTGGATTCTTTGAGGTTTAAAGTTTTGAGTTTTTAGTTTACATCACTTTCTTTGTCCAGGTTGGATCATCAGCTTGTGAATCGCCGGAACGAGTGAATATGCTAAAATCAGACTTTGCATCTCTCTCAGAGAAGAATGCAGAGTTGAAGAAGCAAGTCAGAGAGTTAACAGAGAAGCTACGGTTAGCGGAGCAAGGATCAGACAATGCAAGAAAACAGGTTTTAGCATTGGGAACACAGATCAAGGCGGGTCCTTTTGGGACTGTCAAGAGTCTGAGAACTAATCCAACTATCCTTTCCGATGAATCTATAAACCCAAGATTGGCAAAGATTCTAGAAGAGATTGCTGTCGATAAAGAGGTAATCGTGGCTCTTGCAAACGCAAATGTGAAAGCTATGTTGGAGGTACAGATTGCTAGCATTAAGAGAGTGGGTATAACAAACTACCTGGTTGTTGCATTGGACGATTACATAGAGAATTTCTGTAAAGAGAAAGATGTTGCGTATTACAAGAGAGATCCAGACAAGGACGTGGACACTGTCGGGAAAACCGGAGGTAACCATGCCGTCTCTGGATTGAAATTCCGTGTGTTGAGAGAGTTCTTGCAACTCGGTTATGGTGTTCTTCTCTCCGATGTGGATATTGTCTTCTTGCAGAACCCATTTAGTCATCTATACAGAGACTCTGATGTGGAGTCAATGAGTGATGGCCATAACAATCATACGGCTTATGGATTCAACGATGTGTTTGATGAACCAGCCATGGGATGGGCTCGGTATGCTCACACTATGAGGATATGGGTTTTCAATTCCGGGTTTTTCTATCTAAGGCCTACAATTCCATCAATCGAGCTGCTCGATCGCGTGGCAGATAGACTATCTAAGGCTAAAGTTTGGGACCAAGCGGTTTTCAACGAGGAACTGTTTTATCCTTCGCATCCTAATTATACTGCGCTACATGCATCCAAGAGAGTCATGGATATGTATGAGTTTATGAACAGTAAGGTCCTTTTCAAGACTGTAAGAAAGAATCATGAACTGAAGAAGAAAGTGAAACCGGTGATTGTTCATGTGAATTACCATCCAGATAAGCTCAATAGAATGCAAGCCGTCGTTGAGTTCTACGTTAACGGTAAGCAAGACGCACTTGATACCTTCCCAGATGGTTCTGAATGATTCACTGAAAAGCAGATAGGCTAAAACACTTTCCCAGTTTCTTGACATTTGTGATTCTAATCTATTTTTCCTTTATTGTTTCCATGTTTACTGCTTCATGCCTTTTATTTTCTCCTTTGTATTATGAATTTTTGTGTATCTTATGGCTAAAATCGAAAGTCTTTTTTTTTAACCTCTCTGATCTTGTTACATCGCAAGTCTTTGTTTAAGCATTTCTTGAGGTCTGAATGATATATATGTTACATTTCAAGCCACTTAATAATGTAATATATTTGTAATGTTTTCAAGGCCTAAAAGGAATGATAATAGAAAGATACATCTTAAACACTCTATCTACAAATAATGCGTTGTGAAACAAACTCACTGGTACAATGAATATCGATTCTAGAACAAGAACCAAAACCATGAACTGAATGAACAACACACTAAGACTCCAATCCTTCCTTCCGACGACATGACATAACGGGTTCCTGAGTACTTCATCACAACTACGAGCTTTTACCATTTCCAAGAGTGAGCTCTAGATCCTCCATAGCCACATCATGGATCCTCTCCCCTTCCCATGGCTTAACTTGGCTGTTCTCAAACTTAAACTCGGAGCTTTGACCAATCTCTTGGGTTGCTGCAGTGTTTGGAGATAATTGCTGAGGTGCAGGTTTCACGAGATTGAAAGTAGGAGAAGTTGGCACCATAGAGGCAGAGAATGGCTGTTGTTGTGCAAACTTCTGAAAGCTTATCCAATGACCAGAATCAACAGTTGAAGAGTCAGACTCATCACATTCAGGTATAGTAGCCGGAGCATGGAACTGGCGATGATGAGTGGGACTAGCAGGTGCAGAAACCGCGTAAAACGGATAGTTCAAAGAAGTCATTGATTGTTTAGCAGCAATGGACATGGATTGTTTGGTAAAAGATTCCCAAGTAGGCAATGGTTTGGGGTTTCTAGAATTTGGAGATGAGACTGGTGGAGTGACTGGAGCACTGTTTGAGATTCTAAGCGGAGGAAGCGATGAAGGAATACCGCCATTCCTGAGGAAAGGGAAGATTGTGGAAATGTTGTGTGGATCGCCTACACGAGAAGGACTCGGGAACGAAGAAGACGAGGGACTGACTTGGTAAGATAGGATGGGGCTATCAAAAGTGGAAGACAGAGGACTTTGGTTATGGGAAGAGTAAGGAGTTGCTCGAGAAGATGATCCAGCCATGTCACCAGGTAGAGGCTTGTGTCCCTGTTGCTCATAAAACAATAGCACAATGTCACAATCAATTAATGGCTTAGTCGCTTAAATTTTCAGACACACTAAAAAGCTAAAAGGAGAGATCTAAATATAGTAACCCGGAGAAAGCAAAATGTTAAAAGAAAGTTCTAATTCGGCTCTAAAATTAGTATAAGACGAAACCTAAATTCACTTTCTTCAAGTCAAATCAGACAGAATCTAGATCCAAGAAAATCTTCAGATTCAACAGTTAAATCATCAGATAACTTCAGATCTAAATAAAAGTGCGTTTGATACTAACCTTGCGATAAGTAGTTCCGTCTTCTTCAACAACCCAACCAGCTTCAGAACAAAGAGCCTTGAGAACCTCATTGTTGTCACAATGTTTTGGAAGATTGTAGTTACCTTGAGCTCTAAGACCAGTATAAATCTTCGCCGCAACAGCTCTTCTCCTCCGCTCTCTCCTCCGATTGTTCTCCCTCTCTCTCCACGACGGTTTCCTCCTCGTCGCCATCGCTGCTGCTGCTGCTGCTGACGTCGACGTCGCTCCGTCAGACGTCATCTTCTTCTCTCAACCCTCAAAACAACCCAACCACCGGTAAAAATGGGTACGGATTTCGGATTCAGCTGAAGAAGAATGAAGAGTGAGAAGTTAGTGCTCACGAGGAATACGCTTTTTTTTCTTCTTCTTCGCTGGAGTTATAGAAGAATCTTTCTTTCATTATTTAAATCAAACAAATAAATAAAGCAAAAAGAATTCACCGTTGATTTGAGTTTAATCAGCCACGTGTCGATGACGAATGGTGAGGATATGTGGTGGTGTACGTAACTTATAGTGTGGTTTCGCGTAACGAATCAGTTGAAGAAGTACGTTTATGTTATGTTTCTCTAAATCTGTGTAAGAAAATGAGCTGATTTTATAAAGAGAAAAGAAGAAAGATAGAGAGACATGTGGGGCCATTGTTATGAAGTGGGTCCTACACGAGTATGACCGGAAAACACACCATCTGATTGGTTTATGAGGGGATCGGCCATGTTAAATAGAAAACAAATTGTTTCGAGCCTCATAACATTAATGATTAGATTAATTTGTCACTATAGTATATGGATAAAAATAAAATAGTGTTTCACTATAGTATGAATAGAAGAAAATGAGTGTTTACTTTTGTCTTGACTGTTTATATATCATGTGTTTATCCTTTAATTTTATCTCATTACAGAATTATATAATAAATTATTTGTGAAAACGAATATAAGTAAAACTGATTGATAGATGACATACACAATCTTTATCAAATAAAAAGGTTAAAACCAAACTATTTCATAAGGGTTTAGTTAATTTTTGAAAAAATGTGACAAACTTGTTTTATCATATATGAGGCAATTAACTACGTACAACGAATTCTATAGATTGCCAAAGAGAACTCGAGTGGAGAAGCATTGACGTGTTGGGATTCTTTTAGATTTTCAGAATACTTATCAACATTTTGAACTAAGCTCCGATCTTATTGACAAATTGCGTTTTTAAACACATGCTGATATAGTGACACTATTCTGCATTTGAGATGGATTGTTTATATCAACATGACAGATGGTCAATTTTCTGAACCAAGTTGTCTGAAAGCGAAGTTTAATTCCTAAATTAAGTAATTGACAATGTAGTTCGTTCATTCTATGTTCGTGATATGCATTTTGTTGCATGGTTTGGTTTATTTCCACTTGATGTTTTTTGTTGAATAGAGGATTAAAAAAATCGTGATTTTACAAAACTGTGTGATTGATAAAACAAAACATTCTATCATTCTGCTACTTCAAAAAAATTACTAAACGAGAGTCGTAAATGGAAATGTAAGGATATTCACACAACATTATTAAGTCAAACTGGAAAGCTCTATGTTTGGAAATATCGTTAAAGCATATTGTTTGATTGCTATAACAATCAGAGCCTATAATTCGGAATTATTGTTGGGGCCTGCTATTCATTGGTCATGATGATTTTCTTTAATTTTCATGTTTTTTGCAATTGTATAGTTCATTGAACACAAAAGGAAAATTGGATAGTGGATTTGCCCCACACATAGACCCATCAAAGCAGATATGATCTTCCAACGAGTAGTCAGTCACTTATTGAATTTATATTTAACACGCTTTTGCCTTTATATTTATTCATATTTTGTTGAAAAAGAAAAAAGAAATCTAGTGAATAGCAGCGATATTGATATAGTATGTGATCTTATTGTACTGATAATATATATAAATTTAATCTGAAACATCATCTGTTACAAGAAAAGAAAAAAGCTTACTAATTTGATGGTATAGTTCTAAGACAAAATCTTAAGTATTTTTTTTTTTCTTTTTGAACAATGTCGTTCATCAAATCAAACCTTCTGATTCCTTCCAAGGGTTCTCTCCTCACTGTCTTCAGCTTGACAATGAGTCACAGAAAAAAACAATCATGAGGGCCCAAGCCAGTCTTTTCCTTGGCTGCAACCTAGGGAATGCACCCACTAATCTTTCAAAAAGTATCTCGAGTCCTGAAAGTGAAGAGGTTCATTTCCCCAAGAGGTCCATCCGGCAGCCATTTCCCTAGCAAATAGCTCAAGGCACCGAGCCGGTTGAGACCCGGGAGTGTGTTTCAATAGTATCTCTACACAAAGTCCAAGTGAAAAAAAAAAGAATCAGGGGAGCTTTAGAGCAAGAATTTAACAAAATTGCATTATATGTTCTTGAATTTGATGAAGCCAATCGCAGAACTGAAAATATTACATAAGAATACCTCCAATTGGGGGTTTCCTCGAAAAATCTCCAGGGATGCTCATGATTATCTGGTTCTTGTCCAAGAGTTTAAAATCTGACCTATGTTCTGATCCTGGAAGCTATGACATTTGTATACATGGCTGTTCAAACAGAAATTCCTTTCTCAGATTATTCAAGTGACAAAAACAAGAATTGACTTACTTCGGTATAACGGTAGCCTAGTAGAAGGTACTCATAAGGTTTATGATGGACCAGGTCCAGATCGCAAATCAGTGTACCATCTGGTTTCACCTAAAACATATACATACCGACAGTGTGAAATTTTAAGTCATTGTATGCAATTCAGAAACCAAGATGGGGATAGAGAGGTCCAATATAGGCTCACCTTCAACCAATACATTGTAGCTACATACTTAATTCCCCATGCAGGGAATAGCTCTTTCTCAACAAAACTAAGTAATTTCTCTCTATTGGTCACCCACAAAGCGACGAGAGCTCCTTCAGCATGAGCAAGCTGCTTGATCGGGAGAGATAAGAAGTATCGGTTTGGTAAAGTAGGATACCTAAAACAAGGAACCAAGAAACATGGGTCATGAACTTTCAGATACAAAAAATACTTATCCACAGGCATACTTCAAGTCGATAACGAACTTTGATTTCTGATGAGCGCTTGCATTTTCCCAAGGTGGATCAATAACTATAAGATTGAAGCCTTCTTCAGGTCTAGCTGCATATATGACATCAATAAGATTTAGATACTTCGCCTACTGATATATGATCATGACTGATCTTTTATCATATGACTCAGGACCAATCAACAGGAGCCATAATACTCTAAAGCTCAGCTTTTAGCAAAATATCTGTAATGGACTATAGCACAAGACTTACCAGGAACGAGGTTTCGGATATGCAGTAAATCAGACTTGAAGGCAACATGGGAAAAAGAACTGTAAGATCAGAATAACCATTTCACACAGCAACTAAAAGTTTTCATCTTTATATAGAATCATAAAATAAGACAAGTGAAATTCACAAACCATGTAGAAGCAACTCTTTCTAGGCATTATATATCTCCGGTTGGAAAACTCAGCTCCCACTTCTTCTCCAGTCTCGTTCACTACTAGGTTATTGAACACTTGAAACACTCTCTGTTCATTGCAAGTCTCGCCTATTAAGACCACATAACACCATCAAATTCATGGGTTTCACAAATAGGATTTAGCAAGTGAAACAGAGAAAACAAAAAACCTTCATTGTCGCAACATAGATTAAAATTCAGTGTTATCTCATAGAAAGGAGCTTGCCACACTCCTCCAAGCTCAATAAAAGAGAGTTCATCGTCACAACACTTGTTCAACAAACTAGAATCATCATCACTTAGACCTTTCGTTAAATTCACCAACTCGACGTCCTTTAAAAAAGATTCATGGGCTTTCGATAAGAACAGCCTCGCTTCCTGATGACGAAGATTCGAAGCTTGCTCTCCTACACTAGGAAGGTGAAAGCTAGGGTCTTTCTGCTTCCGTTTTCGCTTTCTCGGATTAGAGTCGCTGGATTGTTGATTGAGTTGCTTCGAATTGAAGAAACGAGAGTAATAAGCAGAAGGTGAAACCCTAAATCGGGTATATGAACGATTGGTGATACGAACCGGGTCTAAGAAGAACCAATTGGAATCGTCGGATTCATAGATCCCCGAATCAAGGAATTGAGCTAGCTTATCAGTTTTCGCCATTAACGAATCCAACACTCTAGTCTCTCTGTTCAAACAAAACCCTCAAAGACGACGACAGACGTGTATGATTGATTATTCTCATTAACCCCTCCAATTTTCGTAATTAACCACAATTAGTCCCCTAATTTCGAATGTAACAAATAACCCCCAATTTAATGCAACTCCTCTGAAATTTTTCGGTAATTAATGGATTTTGTTCATTTAATTCATTCAGATACGCAAAACCCGTGTTCCAGCCTCTAGATTTTGTAGATTATTGTTTAATAAAAACAATAAAGAACACAAGAACTAAAATTTTGATTTTTATGCGAGGGAAATGGTAAAGGGTAAAGCATTAAAAGTTACGAATAATTGAAGCAGGGGTTTGGTGAGGGGTCGCTTTGATAGTTTCCCCAAATATGGGGACGGTTTTATTTTTGGGTGGGCTTTGTTAACTGTGACAATGACAATGACCCGATTAAAGTTTTGGACAAATAATTGATCCAAACATGTAACTTTCATATAGTAAAATCATGTATTTAACACACACACAAAAAAAGTTAAAATATACTACTAGATTTATAATCATTGGTTGAAAGAAAAGCTTTATATTAGTAGTATGAATTTTGTATTGCGTCGCTTGAGCTCTTTTGATTAGAATATCGATGTGTGTTTAATAGTCCCGTATCTAATAATACCCAATTATCCCATTCGACCAGACATATTTGATTGGTTTTTAGCCATTTTATGAGTTTTAAGTTATTGTTCAATGTTTATTTTACTGTATTTGATCCATTTATTTCACTTATTAAACAGTACTTATTTCGTTAGTTTCGTTTATTTTGCTGCTTAGAGAACCTGGTTTTCAAAAAGTAAAAACATTTTTCTCTATATTAATAAAAAAATAGTAATGGAGAGAGCAATAATTATATAAGAAAGAAAATAATAAGATAAGGACAAAGAATATCCAAAATTTTCAAACAAGAGAAAAAAAAGTAACGTGAAGAAGGGTACAATCGTCATTCATTCAGAAAACGGGTCCCATATATCTCTGTCTTTATTAAACACCAGTCAACCATTCAGGTCAATCGCGTGTTCTATAATTACCAAAAGTACCCCTCCGGTTAAATCCAAAAAAACCGGTTCTGTTTTTGCATAACGCATATAGTTTCAGTACAATGCTTACGTGGCAAGTTATAACTGGTCAACGTGGTGGAAGCCTGTCTCTATCATCCCCTCTCTCTTTCCCTCCTCTTCCTTCTCTTTACTACTACTACTCTGCTTCTTCTCTCTTCTCTCTCTACTTTCTTCTTGTGGGACAAACCCTAATTATTTTACATCGATCTCTCTCCACTTTTCCCGCTCAATCATCTGATCTTTCCCTCTCTTAGCAATGCATGATCTTCGATTTTGTATCAGTGTTCACAGCTGAAAACTTCGAAGTGGGTCTGTTGGTTTCTTCGGATTAGATTAGAGAAGAAGAAGAAGAAGAAGAAGAAGAAGAATGCTGGAAGCTGTAGATAGCTCAGGAGTGGTCAATGGAGGATTCCCACAGATTCAGAGCTTTTACGGCGATTGCAGTAGTGAAGAAGAGTTATCAGTATTGCCACGTCATACAAAAGTGGTGGTCACCGGAAACAACCGTACGAAATCGGTGCTTGTTGGTCTTCAAGGTGTTGTCAAAAAAGCTGTCGGTCTCGGTGGTTGGCATTGGCTGGTAAAGTTTTTTACTTTCTTTCCTTTTTTGGTAAAAATGTTATCTTTCTTGTTTCCTTTTCCGTTTTCCTTTTATAGATAAAATTTCGATCTAATCTTAAGTGTTTCTCTTTGTTTTCTGGATTTACCAAGTTTGCAATTCAATCTTTTGAATCGATGAACATAATTTGGGGTTTTGGGATGATTTTGAATTTCAAATTTTGGATTTTCTCTTGAATTTCTCAAAATGATCTTTCTTTAAATTAGATATAATCATTAATTAGCTTCGATTCGTTAATCAAGTCTCATATAATTAAATCAAGAGTTGTTACTTGTTAGTGTGATAAAAAATGAAATCATTTTGTCTTCACCAATGTTAAATCTGTAAATTTTTAAAATCTGGCGATTGAACTTGTTGCATGCGTGTTATTAGCATTCAAGTCACCATTACTGCTGGATTCTGAGTTCTTCGATAGTTAGGTTATTCATGAAGCCTTCATTGATTTTTGTTTTTCTATATTAATTTTTCTGATTAACAGTTTTTTTTTTTTGCATCTGATAAAAGCTTCTGAAACATCTTTTTATCAGTATATTACTCTTTAGATATTTTGATATTTCTTGCTGAGATTCAGGCTCAATTTTAGGAATCATCTATAGGGGATAAGGGATTTTGAGTTTGCAAACATTAAGTTAGGCAACTTTAATTTCGCGCCTGTTGAAAAAAACATCATAACAAAAATGCACTTGTTATCTAATTCTCCATCATGTTTCTTGACAATTCTATCCTTTTTTGTTCACCACCTTGTGGATTCAAGCTGGCTTTTTTGAAATTTGTTAGTCTTTTGATTAGTGATAATCATTTGTTTTAGAGGTTTTTTTTCTTTTGTTCTTTCTTAATTAGTTGAGTAATTTTCGTCCCCAAGCAGTGTCACTTCTGTCGATTATTTTTATCTTTATCAAATCTTTTTGCTTTGGTTGGCTAGTTTATATTATAAGTTTCTCTGCAAGATCTTTTTGATAGTGTCTCTGTGTATGTGGACCTAATGGAGTAACTTCACCATATTCTAGCTTTAAACTTTAGAGAATAATCCAAATAATATACAATTTTCTTCAGTATCACGATTATATTTTACTATTAGTGATATCACATTCCACCAGTTCTTGTCTCCGAGAATTTCTATGGAAGTAACAAAAGAAAAGTGTAATTTAGTTTGAAACATACCATATTCTTCTTCTTCTTAAGCTTTAATTTAAATCAATATGTCAGTACTTGTTTATGGAGTTAAAGTATATAATCAGAATCATTCTTGTGCTTTTTGGTTTTTCTTTTTGTTTTTAGGTTCTGACAAATGGTATAGAAGTAAAGTTGCAGAGGAATGCGCTTAGTGTCCTTGAACATCCTACTGGAAACGAAGAAGACGATGATCTTGATTTCGAAAACACACAGAGGAATGGCTCCGATATGAGTAAGTTTGGTTCCTTAATATTTTTTAAGGATTCTGCCAATTTCTCAAAAACTTGACAGAGAGATCTCTAAACTTGAGTTAGTCTTTAGTGAGCTGCTAAGTGGTATATTGTTTTTAATTTGGACATAAAAGTGGGAACCTTTTTAACTGATTTCCTCAGTCTTGTTTCTATGATAAGTTGTTTCTTTTCCAGCATCTGAGGACACACTGAAGCCTCATAAGTCGAAGCAAAGAGGGCAGAGATCATCGCGGTCATCTCACAAGACGATGAGCAGATCTCTATCATCTGACTCGCAATTAAAAAGTTCGGGTTTTACTCCCCGTGAAAACATGGTACGCATTCAAAAACTTTGACATCTATTTCATTTGCCAGTGAACATAATGCAACTAGTCATAAGTTTACTGATGCGATGTCATATGCTTTCATGCAGAAGGTTGATCTTAGCAAATTGGAAATGCCCGCTTTATTGAATTATTGGCGACATTTTAACCTTGTAAGTTGATTTCCAGAAAAAAAGAAATTAACTTTCGTTTACTCAATCTTGAACTCTACTATCTGTGTGCTTGTTTCTGAATAAACTCTTTGTATAGGTGGATGCAATTCCTAATCCATCAAAGGAGCAACTAATTGACATTGTTCAAAGGCACTTCATGTCTCAGGTACATAAAATCCTTCTAAGCCTTCTCTGAGTTACAAATTTGCCTTGACTTTGTCCTGATGATCAATAAAATGATGTAAAACTGTGATATGATTACAGCAAATGGATGAGCTTCAGGTTATTGTGGGGTTTGTCCAAGCTGCAAAGAGAATGAAGAAGGCATGCAAGTTGCAATCAAAAGAAGCCAGAAACACTGATCTTAACTGCATCAGCTAAAAAAGAAGCCCTGACTTTTAACAAATCCTGTATGTAAGGTACACCGACTTGTTTAACCATTCGTGGCTTGCTAAGTTTTAGTTATTCTAGAGATGTTTGGCTATAGGGTAGATGTTGTTTCTTCTTACTTCTGTTGTTTAGCCGTGTAAGTACCATCAAGAAACCAAATGACTCTCTAAAGCTTCCTATTGGAAACTATCTGTTCTGATACGATCTGGAGAGATGGGTATGTTAGAATGTAAATATAAATGTTTGGTATCACTTTTTTTCTTTCAAGCAAAGGAGAAGCAGAAAGAAGCTTTCCCAAAACACAAAAATCAGTATTGTAGAAACAAATCCGCTCAAGAAAGAGAGTCTTAAGTGATGGAAGAGAAACATCCTCATCAGGTAACATAGCCTCGAATCTCCCCAAGGATAATCTGAAGCTCCTTCGAGAAGACTTTGAATTTGACCGAGTTCTAATCGATCTTCAACTCTCGGTTTTCTCTTGCTAATTAACTGATTATACTGCCGAAAAGATGTTTATGTCGCCTTGATATTGGTTGAAATTAATAGACTGAAAACAAACTATTTAATGAAAGAAACTATTAAATTAAAGCAGTAATCGGAAAATGTTGTAAATGTTTATACTCAAATAAACTAGGATCTTGTGTTTGGACTTTGGTAGATAAAGTGTCATAAAAAAGAACATTTCATAAAGTGATGAAATCTTTGATTTAAGGGTAAAAAATAAAATACAAGATTTTGTAACTCTTTTGTTGACAAAAGAAAAAAAAAACAAGATTTTGTACTTCAATTACCATATCTTTAATTCTTAAAGTAAACATATTGAAGATTTATTTACAAGCATCATAGATTTACCTTTTTTTTTTTTTTATCAATTACGTAGACAAATTATACGTGTTTGTCAATTAAGGACATTTACAATTGACAACAAAAGTATGATTGATTTGGTTTAAAATCTGCAACGAAAGAAAAAAACGATTTACTCAAATTAACTTTGATATTTTTACGTAATAAGCTTATAAAAAAAACAATCAAATAGAAGTTTCATCTTATTCAAAAACATAATCTTTGATTTAATTTTGTCTTTCTCGTTGATAATAATGGGATGGCTATGCATGCCGTATCTCATCTTTTGTTTTAGAAACCTCGACTTTTTGTATTTGTAAAAGATTAAAGAAAACAAAACATAATAATAAGTTAAAAATGATCAATTTTTATTGATTGTTGATAATAATAATAATAATTAATAAAGGCTGTTATGTCTAAGAACAGAAACTGATCACATAATTAGCATTAGTACAAGTAAAAGTACTCGAAGCATCATCGTATGCATAGCTATACGCACTTGGACAAGCTTGTTTAAATATCTTCGAGTAATTCGTCGGCGGACAAGTAGCCGGTGTACTATACGCGCCGGTGCAGCAATACTCCGGCTTATTAAAAGCCTCACAAGCACTCTTACACGCCACAACACCCGCGGCGTCCGTAACGCGTAGCTCGTTTGGACAAATCGCGTTCACGTCCGAAACGCATCCCGCGGTTTGACAATTGCCTGAGCCACCTTGCGGTGTGATTTTCATCTGAACGTTGTAACCGTCGACGAGGCTCACGTCGTAGAAATCTTGCACTGCGTTTTTCTTTCCGGATGAGCCGATTGTGAATTCTGCGAGTGTGGCTGGTGGAGCTCCTCCTGCGCCGGCGCATTTTAACTTGCCGCCGCAGTCTCCGGTGGTGCATTTTCCGGAACCGGATGCGTCGAAGTTGCAGCCCGTTCGACCCCAGAATCGACCGGACCAGCCTGCAGAAACGGTTAAGGTGACGGAAGAGCCTGCGGCTAAGGCAAAACCGCCGTCGCCGATTGGTGTGCCGTTTGCGGTGAGGATTCCAGGCCAGATGGTGGAGCTGCAGTGGTTTGTTAAGGTGAAGTCGGTGCCGGAGACAATGGAAATTGTACCTTGCAAAATATAATAGACAAAATACAAAATGTAAATAAGAGAAATTATTATACTAAAAGTAGAAATCGTTGGAAATATTTATGTATACATGTGGCTATGATGAAGGAGAAAAAGAGAAGATGTAATTTGGAGAAAATCGCCATTGTTGATATGATCATATGAGTAATGAAACTTTGAAGTTGTGAACTTGTGATGATGAGTGGAAGTTGATGGGGTGATGATCCTCTATTTATAGCGTTTTTTCTTTTCTTTTTTTAAGATAAAAATTAATTAGTTTAATTTAATTATTTTGGATACTACTTACCATAGAGGGACACGTTTCATATTTTATTTTTCTTTTATAGTTTTGTGTAATTGCTTTTTTATAATTACATTAAAAATCAACTTTCATAATATTAGATAACTTTTCCATTCAAAAGTTGTGTAGAACCAATGCAAGAGGAGTATGTAAATTAATTGATTTATCTATTGAAGATCTATCTAAAATTATGAAAGTTGATTTTTAATGTAATTATGAAAAAGCAAGAAGAGTAATGCGGAAAGTGGAAACTAATTGTTGGAACATTCCAAACTCAAGCAAAAGGCTGCAATCCAGTGACTTTTGTCCGCCGGCGGATATCCGCACCAAATTTTTGGGTCCGAATGGTAACCGCGGTTTTTATTGTGCGGGAAAAGCGTTATTATAGTGCGGTACGGTTCAACTGCGGTACGTGCGGGAGAAATATATTTGCGGGACAAGTGCGGTTTGTACAAAATAAGCGGTAAAGAATAATGTTTGATTGGTGAAAAAAACTACTTGCGGTACGGATTATAGATTATATATATATTAATAATTAATTAATTTTTGTGTTAATAAAGAAATAATAACAGATATTTATAAACCATTTATACAAAAATCTATCAAAATATAAATTTAATTTTGTAGCATATATATTTTTACATGCGTTGACTAAGTTTATCATAAAAAATATTATCTATTACTTTGATAATAGATAATATTTATTGATTTTAGCATATGATGCAATATTGTCTCGTATTTGCGTCATATGTTCTCTATCTGTTATCTTTATTGATTTGATGTCATCTAAATCATGATCAAAATCTCTGTTGTTTATATTTGTCTCTGTCATTACATCTGCAAAATATGTATCTGAGAAGTTTGAAATTCTGATGAAATTATGTAATCCCACTGTAGCCATTATCACTCTTTTTTTTTTAACATGAACATTATATCTCAGAAAATCAAAAAGAATCTTCTATTTTTTTTTCCAAACTCCAAAAGTTCTCTGGACAACAGAATTTAAAGGAAAGTATGATGATGTCGAAAAGAGAGAGATAAAGATAATTAATTATAATTATAATGTTTTACTTGTTTGTAAGTCCATAATTTTTTAATGGAATTTTTAGTATTAACAACAAAATCTTTAATTTTTTTTGGTGGTAATCTATAGTTTTTAAAATTATAATCATAGATAATGTATTGTGTTGGATAATATGATATCTAATAATCAAAAGTCAAAAAATATTTTTTTTTTTAAAGTTATTCAGTGCGTAATTGACAAAACCACTGCTTCTTAGATGTGGTGAGATATTGGGGTGCGTTTTTTAATTCAGCAGACAATTTTATACATTCTGCGGTTTTACTTTTTGGTTTTCTTAAAACCACAATTTTTAGAAAAACTTGTGATTGGTGAAAGTAAAGCGGTTTTACCAAAACCGCTTTGAAATCCGCATTACAAGTGTCTCCATTCACACCCTTTGTTTTAATAAATGTATAAACATGCCAAAAGAAAATCATATCCAATCAAACAAGACATACGAGAGCCTAACCAATAGATTCAAAGATTTTATCTCTTTATCTCTATGAGTTCATTAAGAACGTGGAAAACAAACGTGGTGTTCTTCGACCAACTTGATCTCTCACGTTGCATACAAAAAGAAGAAGAATGAGCATATGCGCTTATGAAGCAGACTACTTTGGACTTTGGAGAAGAAGATAAATTGATGAAGTTAACCCCCAAATAACTAATGAATTGTCAAGCAAATATCCGTACCAAGTCGGGTCGGATTTGCTCGTACGAGTGTCATGATTAGATACCTTAGAGCGCAGGAAACACAGGCCATAAACGTCAAACTAACACTGTGACATTGACTTAAAAGCATTTAAATCGTCTCTAATTCTCTATCGATAATATCCTAGCTGGCATATACTTTACCGCCATAATATAAATTATTTATTTAGATAGAAAAACTAAAACCGAACATGAACCAAACTGAAAGTTGAATGGTATCTAAATAAATATTACATGTATAAACATAGAAATATTAGTTATTTTAGATCAAAAATAAAGTACTCCAAATAATTAAGGTATCTTAAAGTTTTCGTTGTATTTGTTGAAACTTAATCAAAATTAATTTAAATTTAACAATCTTTATTTTTTTTAGTATTTTAGATTTTCGGAATTGAGCCAAAAATTATACAAGTGGGTAGTAAGTATTAACTCTTTACTGAAATACTTGAACCGAACAAAGACTATATAAAACACCTCCATTGAAAGTATCTTATATTAGTTGTTCATTATAAAAGGGTGGAAAATATTAGAAAGGGATTATTGTTGATTTTGCCATTTTTTATAGAAATCTTTTGAAATTGCCATTTTTAATAAAATCTTACGGATATGCCATTTTTTAATACTTAAAAATGTACGTATTTCGTTTTTTTTTTGGTAAAAATACGTAGTTTATACAAAATACTAAACCCTAAGAACAACCACAACCGACTAAACCCAAACATAACGAATAAAACGCATGTTAAATCATATTTTCGTAGCCTGAAAAGGGGCAAAATCCATAAACTATTCAAAAAAGGACAAAATCCACAAATGCCATCCAAAAAAATGGCAAATCCATAATTGATTCCCTTGTTTGAAAAATCGCTAGGCGCTAGTCGGGCGCTCGGCATGGGCCTAGCGATTAATCGGAAAATCGAATTAAAATCGGGGATTAATCGGGGATTAATTTTAGGGTTATTTTAATATTTTTAAAACATATTAATCCAATATTATTTTTAAAATTGCAGTAAACACATAAAAATGTATTTTTGAGACAAATATTTATGATTTTTATTAAAATATGAACATAAATTATTGTAAAACATTACAAACTCCCAATTCAAATGATTGAATAACAAAAATAAAAAGTTTTTTTATACTGGCAATCTAAAAATAATCGGGGTATGTAAGATTAGGCGGAGAATAATCGGATTAGGCGGGGAATAATCGGATTAGGCGGAGAGTAATCGGGTGACTGATTTCTTTAAGGGATTAGTCATTAATCGAGGCGGACAGGGTGGGCCTAGCGATTAAGCGGGGAGTAATCGGGTCTAGGCGGGGATTTTTAGAACAGGGATTGATTCTATTAGAAAAGAATGAGAGAGAGTGAGACAAGTATTTTATTTAAGAAACTTTAAGAGACTTCTAAAATACTTTTGAGCCACTAGTGACTTTTTTTTTTTTTGGCGAGAGAGCCACTAGTGACTTTATGATTGATTCAATTTTTTTGGAAAAAAATAAATAAAATAATTCTTTTTTACACTTTTCTTTTACTTCTTAAAAATTACATAACCAAAATGTGTTAAATATTAATATTTTTTAGTTAAAACATTTATTTGAGTATCTTAGTCGGTGGAGTTGCTCTTAGAACCAAACCCAATACCCGAATGCCCGACCCTAGAATAATAATCTAATAATCTACCTCCAAATATCTAGTATCTACCAGATCTAACGGTCAATAAGATAGAGTTGACTTCATACAGCCACTAGTTCTCCGTCACGTGCACACATGTGCCCACAAATTCGCGGGATAGTAAAAAAAAATACAGGAAAATAGGTCAAACAAATACAAATAAAATATAAATTATTATTCTCAAAAGATCTTTCTTCGATGAAACTTGTCTCCGGCCAAACCTTAGCCCTTAAGCCAGCGCTGTTCCTTTGCGGATTTCGATTAGATCGTCGATCCCTTCACCGGCCGATCTAACTCTTTTATTGGTAATTATCTATTCCGATCAAATACTTCGTTTCATATTTTTTGATAAATTTTGCTTCCCCTCTTTGATTTGATTTTTCGAGATAATTTTTGATTCGCCGGAATATATGATCGGTGATTTTAGTGGTTTATCGGATAGATCTAGAGGTTTATGATTGTTTTATTTATATTAAAGCTGAAAGATCTATCATTGATTATTGAATCACTAATTTCAATTTGGTCAATAAGAGTTGTTGATTAGTTAATTAATCTTCTCTGTTTATCTTTCTGTGTTAATTTATTTATATGCTGCTTTGTGATAATCCAGTGGAGGAGATTAAATCAGAGGTTTTTGGGTGAATCATGTCTGATGTTCCTTCTTGTTCTAGCGGCAATGATACAAACAGCAATGATTCGAGTAACTTTGAATGTAACATCTGCTTAGACTTGGCTCAAGATCCTATTGTCACTCTCTGTGGTCACTTGTTCTGTTGGCCTTGCTTATACAAATGGCTCCATCTCCATTCTCAATCTAAGGAATGCCCGGTTTGCAAAGCCGTGATCGAAGAAGACAGATTGGTTCCTTTGTACGGTAGAGGTAAATCGTCTGCCGACCCTCGATCCAAGTCCATTCCGGGACTCGAAGTGCCTAACCGTCCATCGGGACAGAGACCCGAAACTGCACAACCTCCTGATCCTAACCATGGTTTTGCTCATCATCATGGGTTTGGTGGGTTCATGGGAGGTTTTGCAGCTCCCATGGCGAGTGCCCGGTTTGGGAATGTTACATTGTCTGCAGCGTTTGGCGGTTTGATTCCTTCGTTGTTCAACCTCCATTTCCATGGATTCCCTGATGCAGCCATGTATGGGGCTGCTGCTTCTGGCGGCTTCCCTCACGGTTTCTCAAATCCTTTCCATGGAGGACACTCACATATGCATAGTTACCAGCGGCACGGGGGACGACAAGGACAACAAGACAATCACTTGAAGCTATTGTCACTTGTTGTTTTTGTCGTCGTTGTGTTATCCCTCTTCTTGAGCTAGTGAGGAAATCGATTAGTTGGCTTGTAATCTGCTACTTTATTCTAGATCTTATTGCATAAAAACCTGAGAAGATATGCTGTGAGTTGGCTTGTAATCTGCTACTTTAAGCAAATTGTTCATATATC